CCCCACTCCCCACTTCAGGCATTAACCATCCCTTGAGTCCAAATCGCCCCTCTCCCCCTTCTCTTACATTGTAAAGCTGTGGGAACACCACAGCAAGATCATGCCAGGACGGCACCCCATCACAGAACATGGAGTGCTAGGAACCTAACAGATGACTGGGGCTTCTCTAAAATACAGAAAAAGCCCGAGGCCCAGGGCATAGGCTCTAGAATTGAGGGAGCCATTAAATGAGATAATAAGTGAGAAGAAGTCTGGGCTAGAGACTGAAATCCTGAATACAGATGAGCACTACAGCAGGCTCCTGACACCATTCAAGCCTCATTCCTGGGGTAATTAGGGAAAGGAAAGGGAGCTGAGCAAATCATGTAATGACCCTGCTTGAAGTCCCCCTGAAAAAGAAGCTCCTAGCTCAGGGTAGCACTGAGGATGCCTCTGGACCTAGGCTCATATTTGTTTCCCTTCACTGGTGTCCAGAGCAGGAGTAAAACCTATACTTGTCTCCCAGGGAAGTTTTCCCTACCTTCAGCCAAGCATCTTTCCTCCCACCTCTTGAACTAGTCAAGTTCTTGCCCGTGTCAGGTTCTTTGTACTTTTGCAAGCCCCAGACCTCTGCATGCCTGGATCCCTCATATTTCCCCCATTAGGGATTAAATGTCATTCATCACCTGACACCCTGTCCAAAAAGAACCCACTCCATCGTTTTTTATATCACTATCAGAAGTCAACCTATTAACAGTGTCCCCCACTAAGGTGTGAGCTCCGTGAAGGAGAACCTTGCATGTCTGGCCCACTACCTAGTCCCCACAGCCCACCACAGTACATGGCAAAGAGAAAGTACTCAGTGATATCCACTAAGTGAACACATGCATGTACACATGCCAAGGGTCACTGAGAGCTTCACACTTTACTTCAGGGATAGGAAAGAACTCACTGACGATCCCATCTCCCTGGCTCACAGCAGAAAGTAACAGTGGGTTTGGGGGGAGCTGATTTGATATCTATTAATAGCAAGAAGATTTGCATTCAGATCCTAAATCAGCTGGACTTCTTGGTGTCCTGAGGCACAACCTCCTCTCTAAAACTCAGTGTTCTCATCTGCAAAAAAAAAAAAAAAGCAAGGGCATGGAATGCGTTAGACCAGTGGTTCTCAAACCTGGGCTACCCGCCTGGACGATTTGTGGAGGCTTTTTAAACAAATTTCTTCACCTCAACCCTAACTTATTAAAGTATTTAAGAGTTAGGGAAGGGAGGATCCAAGAATTAAAACTTTTAACAATGACCCACCCCCACCACCCCCCTGCCAGGTGATGCTGATGCCTGCAAGGACATCCGGTTTTCTCCACTAGGAAAAGAGGGCAGGGCCAGCCCCGCACCTGACCTGAGGACTCCCAGAGAACCTTCCAGATGCTCTGCCCAATGTAATCCCAACTAGTGAAGCTTCCAGAACCAGCTTTATTTGCCTCAGACCCTGATCCATGATCATCCACTCATCTGTGGGTAGGTTGGCAAGTATCAGTCTCTCTCACTTGGACCATCAGCTGCATCAGGGCTGGGACCCTGTCTGAGTTGTACACCCTTCTACCACCTCCAGGAACAGTGTGTGTCTGTTAGTCGCTCAGTCGTGTTTGATTCTTTGCGACCCCATGGACTGTAGCAGCCTTCCAGGCTCCTCTGTCCATGGAATTCTCCAGGCAAGAATACTGGAGTGGGTAGCCATTCCCTTCTCCAGGGGATCTTCCTGACCCAGGGATCAAACCCAGGTCTCCCGCACTGCAGGCAGACTCTTTACCCTCTGAGGCACCAGGGAAGCCCCCAGGAACAGTGCCTGGTACAATATATATTTGCGGCAATACAGGAATGAATGAGCACACAGGTCCTTTATGGTGGACAGCTGAGAGGCCTACAGAGGCAAATATACTCTGAGAATCTCCAGGAGAGGGCTCACCATGATGTTACTACCCAGCTCAGTTGGGCTCAGAGCCCTTTATCATGAAGCGGCAGATAATAAGCATGTTACAGGGGACAAAGACTGCCCAGTGCAGGGCACATAAGAGGCAGTCAGTACTAGATGACTGCAGGGGAATTTCATGTGGCTGGGGAGCTGCTTAAACCCATGAGAGAGGGACTGTCTAATCCCTTTGAACTGAATGCTTAGCCCAGACTCTTTTTTTTTAATTAAAAACTTTAAATTATTTATTTATTTACTGGCTGTGCTGGGTCTTCACTGCTGCACGTGGGCTTTCTCTAGTCGTGGTGAGCAGGGGCTACTCTACAGTTTCGGGGCACAGCCTTCTCATTGCGGGGGCTTCTCCTGTTGAGGAACACAGGCTTTAGAGCGGAGGCTCGGTCACTGTGGCCCACGGGCGGGGTTGCGCCGAGGCAGGTGATACCTTCCGGGACCAGAGATCAAACCCAAGCACCCTAGAGCCCCTGCTCTGCAGCAAGAGACGCCACAGCAAGGAGAAGCCCGTGCACTGCAACTAGAGAGTAGCTCCCACTTGCTGCAACTAGAGAAAAGCCCAGACCAAAAAAGATAACTAAATGTAAAAAAATGTTTTAAAGATAACAGGCCTGTGAAGATTAAAAAGAAGGGAACAGTTCCTTGACCTGCCAGCTCTCTCCAAAAGAATTCCAAGAACCCTGAACATCTCAGAAAGACACTGACAGACATCAAAGCCATTAGTAGGTGCTGATCTTGGAAGTCAGCCTGTATCACATCACCCTTATCAGCAGGCTTGGATGGTGTCCCTACATGTCCAACAACTTTTCCGAGAGACACTGGTCTATAAAAACGGGATGGAGCTTTTCCTCTGACAGATTGGAGGCAGAAGCAGGAGTAAGGCACCTCCTGAAAATTTTTGCCCACCAACACTGACCGATTGGCACCAGACAAGGTAAGAACTCTCAACAAACAATATGCAAGAGAAAAGGTCGAAACTCCTTCGAAATGGAAACAAGCATAGGACAGCTTGTCAAAGGATAGATAACTTGGGTTCTACGTTTTGAAAGCATAGGACAGCTTGTCAAAGGATAGATAACTTGGGTTCTACGTTTTGAATCTCCTTAGCCATCCCACTCCCCTGCTAAAACGTACAGCACTCTGCCTAGCACAGTAGGGTTAACAGGGGCCTATTAGGCAACTGCTTTTAAAAAATGGGAGATTTATTACTAGAATTATCAATGGGCTCCTCTCAAGACAATGTCTAACAATACTGCCATCGACTCAAGTCACAGGCACAGAATTTTATTATTTTTCCCTCACAGGACACTTACATGTTTCCTGAGACACTAATTCTAATTCCTCACTGATGAGGATAAAATGAAAAAATAATGAAGAGGTGAGTTTTTTCAAAAACCAAACTTATTCAATGTGAAGGATTGTTAGTGGAGTCCCATATGTCCTTCCCAACATTTCTGCAATAGCAGTTCTTCCTCTGGTGTCATAAATAACAGGCAGCTTGACTTGGGCAATGTCGGCACATGGCAAAAGTCGACAAGCCCAAATTTACAAAATTTGACTGATTAGGAAATCCAAACAGACAGGAGCTCAGAGTCTACTTGCTTCACTGAGGGGAAATGCCCCAAGACACAAACCTCCATGTTACCCAAAACATGAGCAAAGAGAAAGACAGAGAATCATGAGAACAGAGGAATCTGACCAGCAGGGGAGGGAAGTGATCTCCACTGGGTCACACAGCTGAGCTCAGAGTCAAACACAGCTCTCCTGCCTGGGTCTAGACCCTGCCTTCTCATTAGCACTGAGGCTCCTCCACTGCAGAGGATGATAATAATATTGTCTAGTGCCAGATTCACTGGGAGAATTGTTGCAGATGAAGGGCTTAACACAACTGACTAGTATGAACATGAACCAATACTCATTAAGGAAATACCTATGGACACATCCCAAGAAGTAGAGTGGAGATTTACACAGCTTATACATTCACCGTCACTAAGGCTGCTCAACCCCAGCCAAGAGGAAGATGCCCCACACTCAATGGTCAGCAGGAGCATCCAGTGCCCTGCCCACAGGAGGGCCCCAAGAAGTGGAAGAATAGGTTAACTCATTCAATATACACACAGGTGAGCTTCCTCCATTATGGCTGCCACCAATATCATAGTATGGACTGACCAGTGCCACCATCAGAACAAGCCAGTGGCTCTCCCAGAACAAGGGACTGGGCTTTAAAAAGACAGAGAAGCCCTGAGATGGTCTCACTCATAGGGAGATGACTCTGGCCTCGATGCACTGAGCTAACATGCTAGGATAGCCCAATGACCAAATGAGTAGAGGGTGCCAAGCCTAGGGCTGATTCCTTGGGTGGTTTAGTCCTGACCAGGCAAAACTACCAGCTGGGGGTAGACAGTGGGTAAAGGTGAGCATGCTGGCCACTCTGTAAACACAAGTTTCACCAAGTGAAAAATGAAAACATAGGCCTTCCATCTCAGCACTGTGCAGAGTTTAGAGCAACTGATGTCCATTCACACTCCACAAAGGGACTGGCACGTGATAAGCTCACATCAACAAGGACACTGCTTTACATTAGCTGCCTGAAAACAAGGAGAGACCTTGACTACCACAGGAGTGATAACTCTCACAGCTCGATCATTCAAAACACTTGAGTTCCCCAGTTGGTGACTCAGATCACTGCAAGCTATTTGAATCTGGAAGACGGGCAGGAGAATGTGGGACTATATAGTTAAGATCTGGGCAGGGCATGGCCTGTACTCAAAGGGTGCCACCAGCCCATAGACACCTCTGCACAAAGTTAAAGAAGCTGCAGAAAAAGGGGCCCTTTATCAAGATATTGACTGTCATGGGCCGAAAACGCTGTCCCTCGAATACGGTATACGGATCAGAATACTGACAATGTGAGCGGCACCTTCCTACAAGAGCTAGGATCCTGGCATGTGGACAACCAATACAAATATACTGGCAGCCCTGTGGTCCACTGGGAATGTGGTGTCTGACGAAGCCCTCCTTTGCAGATATCGGCCACAAGATGCTGACCCTGTGGGCCTTGGCCATCATGCTAGCTGTCCAGGCAGGAGCGCTTGACCTATCGACCTCACCTTTACCGCTGGGAGCCCTTCCTGACAAAATAACCTCTGGGCTCCCCATTCATTTCCCGATCAGTGTGCCTGACCTACAAGTCCCCAGAATTTCCTCAATCAGAAAAGGCTCTCCACCTCCCAGACGTGCAGCTAGGACCTCAGGAGGCAGATGTTCACCCGTGGCCAAATACCTTGTGTCTAGCAGCAAACTCAATGACTGTAAGTAAGATTCATTTTACCTGCACAGGTTTGAATTTCTACCCCTTCACACATGCTTTTCATCTCCAACCCCAAAGGCTAATTACACCTTCTGGACAGGTGGTTCTGAAATAAGAGGTGATAGCAGTATCACCTCTGGAGCTTGTTACCAAAACAGCTGCCTGGACCCCACTCACAGACATTCTGGTGCAGCAGTACCAACGAAGGCAAGAGGGAAGTTCAGACAGTGGTCCACGTGATAGTTCTAACTGATCAGTAACTTGGTGGTAGAGGCTGTTAATTTCACAGTCAGACATTAAAAAAAAAAAAAAAAAGCCTTAAAAGATATGAATATAGAATTAACACCCTTGTGGGGCTTCCCTGGTAGCTCAGTGGTAAAGAATCCGCCAGCCAAAGCAGGAGATGTGGGTTTGATCCCTGGGTCAGGAAGATACCCTGGAGAAGAAAACAGCAACCCACTCCAGTATTCTTGAGTTGGAAATCCCATGGACAGAGAAGCCTGCCAGGGTTACATTCCATGGGGCCTCAAAAGAGTCGGACAAGACTTAGTGACTAAACAATAGCAACATCCTTGTACCCACCACTGAGGTTGAGGAATAAAATGGGCCATAGGACTGAAGACCCCCAGGCTCCTACTGGGGGTGCACTGCTCCACCCTCCCTCTATCTCCTCTCTTGAGGAGGCTTCTGGCCTAATTATTTTCCTCCTGCCATTTTTTATGTTTTATGACATGTAGATATTCCTTCTCAAGATAAATATTTGCACTAAATGCTATAAGGTTTTCTAAAGGTGACCTGCTTGCACTGTCTCTCAAACTTACCTTTCTGAGGTAGTTCATCTGTGCTGTAATGAGAAATTCTGGTCCATTCATTTTCGCTGCAGTATTGTACCCAATGAATCTTCCATGATTGATGCAGCTAATCGATTTCCTTTTTAAAAAAAATTGCAGTATAGTTGATACAATGTTTCAGGTGTACAAAAAAATGATTGTTTCTTTTTTCATATTCTTTTCTATTATGGTTTATCATAAGATTTATCATAAGATATTGGCTTCCCTGGTGACTCAGATGGTAAAGAATCTGCCAGCAATGCAGGAGACCTGGGTTCAATCCCTGGGTTGGAAAGATCCCCCGGAGAAGGAAGCAGCTACCCACTCCAGTATTCTGGCCTGAAGAATTCCATAGACTGTATAGTCCATGCGGTTGCAAAGAGTCGGACACAACTGAGTGACTTTCACTTTCATAAGATATTGAATATAGTTCCCTGTTGTATACAACAAGTCCTTGTTGTTAATCCCTTCCCCCACCCACTTGGTAACCATAAGTTTATTTTCTAAGTCTGAGTCCAGTTCTTTTTTGTAAATATTAAATATGTTCACTTGTATGGTTTTTTTAGATTCCACATATAAGTGATATCATGCATTTGTCTTTGTCTTACTTCAGTTAGTTTGATAATCTCTAGGTCCATCTGTGTTGCTGCAAGTGGCATTATTTCATTCTTTTTCATGGCTAAGATTCCATTATGTGTGTGTGTGTGTGTGTGTCTGTGTGTGTGTATACACCACATCTTCTTTATCTATTCATATGTCAATGGACATTAGGGTTACTTCCATGTCTTAGCTATTATAAATATTGCTGCTATGAACATTGGGGTGCATGTGTCTTTTTGGTTTTTCGTTTGCTTGCTTAATTTCTATTTCTTATTTATTTGGTTGTGCCAGGTCTTAGTTGTGGCACACAGGATCTTCAGTCTTCATTGCACCAAGCAGAATCTTTAGTTGCAGCATGTGACCTCTTAGATGTAGCATGTGACCTCTTACATGTAGCATGTGGGATTTAGTTCCCCAACCAAGGATCAAACCTGGGCCCCCTGCATTGGGAGTGGGGAGTCTTATTAGCCTCTGGACCATGAGGGAAGTCCCAGCATGTATGTTTTTTAATTAGTGTTTCTGTCTTTTCTGGATATATGCCCAGGAGTAGAACTGATGGGTGAAATGGTAACTCCATTTTTAGATTCTTAAAGAAACTCCATACTGCTCTCCACAGTAGCTGCATCAATTTACATTCCCACCAACAATGGAGGATGATTCCCTTTTCTCTACACCCTCTCCAGCATTATTAAATGTAAAAGTCTACATTTATAAATGTAGACTTTTTGATGATGGCCATTCTGATTGGTGTGAGGTGCAGAACCACACAGATGGAGAACAGATCTAAATCAGTCAGTTCCATCACCTCCCTAGCCACCTCCTGCCCTACACAGCACTTAAAAATCAGTGATCACTCACTTGGCCTGCCCCCAGTGCCTCATGCTGCAGGTTCCATCATATAACGCTGGACAAGACACCCCTGAGGCAAAACTGGGCCTCAGAAAAGAGAAGAGCCTGCCCTAGGCCACTTGGCCTTCAAGGGTCAGAACCTAGACTATATGTATATACTCTGGGCTACTAGGCTCAAAAGCAAAACTAGGTCCTTTCATGCCATTCTCAAATTGCTTTAGAGTAATATACTCAACACCAGGTTGGTCTCAGGTAGGTGCTAATAGAGGCTAACTCCTAAGAGGGAACAGGTATGTTTCTGGAACACCAGGCTGTCCTTGTGGGGGGCAGTGGCAGGGATTGATATTTCAGGGAGGCATGATATTCAGTGCCTATGGATCCCACAACTCAATGGTGCTGGCTCTCCAGCTGGAAAGCTTGCTTTGGCTGAACCAGCTGGGCAGCTAGCGGCAGGATCATGTCTCTCGACCCTTTTCAGATCTGAATGCCACCCTGGTCCCAAAGATAGAGAACATGCTGAGGTGCGAGGAGATAAACCTGGCTGGTGTGTTGGGAGAAGTGATATCCACAGTGTCCAACTCTGACCTGCTGTCTGTGTTAGGTCTTACTTCATCCCTCGATATCCTTGGAGGTGGTGGCCTCGGTGGTATCCTGGGCAAGGGGACTGCACCCCTCAATATCCTTGGAGGTGGTGGCCTCGGTGGTATTCTGGGAAAGGGGGGCAGCAACAAGTCCCCAAAGCACCAGCAGTCATTGCTCTCAGAAGCCACTGGTGCTGTCAGTGACCTCGGCCGGGATGCTCTGGGCAGCCTACCACTCCTTGGTGGAAGGAATGCTGTCAAAGAACTCGTCAGCAGCACTGGTCTCTTGACTGGCGACAAACTCGAAGAAACCACCGAGGGCATCCTGAACAGTGTGTTGCCAAAAGACGTCAACAGTGCACTCACAGGCCTGCTGGAAAATATCGACTTGGCAGACCTCCTGTTAGGGTAAGTGCTTCCTTGACCCTTATGTCTGGCACAAGACGAAAGCTACTGTTTGGAGATACTGATGTTCGGCTCCCAATGATCCCATGGAAAAGGGCAACCATGTTTTCATGAAGCAATATTTTAACTCAGTGCTGAAAGGCTATCCTTTCGGGGGGAAATATGATCAAGATTTCTTGACCTTAAAGAACTGGGCCACCTTTTTTTTTTTGAGAGTGACACTGGTGTCTGTGGAACTGCCCCCAAGAGTCAGAGCTATTGTATTGTTTAAAAAACAAACCAAAAAAAAAAAAAAAAAGGAAGGAGGAAAGAAAAAACCAAGTGGGTAAGGTGGCTGGGGAGTCCCAGAGATAGATGGGTGGGTAGGTTGTTAACTGCCTGTTTCAACGGTGTTTCTCTTGTTACCCAGACTGATTCCTTGAGCCAGGACTGACACTTATACTTGATACTGTTACTTTACAGATTAGAGGTTGAAAAAGTGACTGTGGAGAACATGACGTCAACCATGACAGGCAATGGGATCCTTGTCCACACCGTGACTACTGCCTTCATAGGTGGAAACGGGTGAGCCTATTTCCAAATCAGTCAACTCAAACAGCCTGGACTAGTGACTTAAGATCTAGTGTCCAAGAGCCAAACAGAGACAACAAAGAGTAAGGCAGGATGGTTGAGGGTGGAGTGAAAGGGGCACCAGGCCCAGCTGCCTCGCTCCTCCAGCCCCGAGGAGCAAGGTGGCAACATAACACCACGGAGCCCCACTCTCAAATAGTACAAAAAAAAAGCCAGAAATCCACATCTCCATATGAAATCTGCATAATTTGATAGATGAGCAATGAAGACAGAAACCATGGAGAACTCATTTCATATCAACATGTACACTGGTCTTAGGGGAAATATGCCTTCCAAATAATCTTGACTCTCCAAGAAGAGTCAGCTCACTCTACAAACACTGTGCTAGGAAGTTCAGGGGAAACAGACATGATTAAAATGCCCTCAGGAAACTAGAGATTTTAAACACGCAGGCATACACACATTCACTCATCCACCTAACGGGTAGTTAATAACTGCTGCTCTGTACCAGATGCTGTGTTTGACAGAGAAGACTAAAGGCAGGCGGTCCCTGTCTTCAGTGGGTGTCAACTCACGTGGGGGAGGGACAGGTTAACAGAGCCCCAGGACACACAGGAAGATGTGAGGGGGCAAGGGAATCCACACTGGAGAGAAGATTTCTTGGACCAATACATTCACATCCCTGATACCTATCACTGATTGAGCTCCAGCCAGGCCCTTAACTGAGACACTCTTAACTCAGGAAGCCTCTTGACAACCTCATCAGGAAAGCAGTCCTGTTTCTAGACTAGAAAACCAGTTTAAACTAGCAAAACCAGTTATAAACCTTCCTCAAAGTCCCTCAACCAAACGATGGCAGTGACCAGATGTGAGCCCAGGTGTTCTGCTTCCAGAGTCCACATCTGGGACCACTGCAGTTAACAGTGTCAGGGAGAACCATCTATCTTCTCCAAAATATCTGACTCAAAGAAGACCAGGCTCTGGTAAATCGTGGGTTCTTCCTATGTTGTCACCCACACAACAGACAGCTGGGAGTGCGGGGCACAAAAGTGACCTTGTTACAAGTCAGCCTGGTGCCACCCAACAAGACCCTTGAAGACTAGTTAGGAGGGTGATTTTGACAATGTTTATTGAATACCTCCTTTGAGCCAAGCTCTGAATTCTATGTATAGGAGACTGGCCAACCATGGGGCATACTTATTGGAAAGCACCAAACTTACCCTCACTCAAATAACCTGGTGATTCCCAAAATGCCTATTGCTTTGGCTGAGTGACATCTTGCAATGGGACCTGGGTTCACCTGCATCTTGTTCTCCACAGCCTAGCAGGACCTGTAGTCAGCATACTGGGATTTCAAGTGCATGCAGATGTAACTCTGCAAATTGGAATTTCCACCAACACCACGCAATGTGTCAACCTCCTAGTCCAGGGGAAGAACATAGAAGTCAAGAAAGTCAACATGCAGATAGTGGAGGAGTACGTGAGACCATTTTTTCTCATTTTCTGGATCAAGCGGCCTATATGTCCAAATAGCCTTGCTGGTACCACACTTAGAGACCAGCTCAGCCAACCCAGAGGTTTGAACCATCAATAGAGGAGGCCCAGAGAAGGGCCTCTGCTTGCAAATGGCCCACTGGGTCTGAACACAGCCTTCTCTCACTCTGCCTGTGTCCTCTTTGCTGCTTTTTTGTACACAGTTCTATTTTCTTGCATAAGTAATCCATTCACCTAGATCAAAATTCAAATGATTCAAAAAGCCATACAGTGCAATTCTCCCTCCCACCCATATACACCGGCTAATTATCCTTCCTGGAAGCAACCAAAGGACCAAATTTTTCCATTGGCTTTCAGAGATATTATTTGCATATGCAATAAACGTGTGTATGTATACACACAGAGAAATGGGCTGGTTTATTATATACACTTTTCTGGCCTCTGTTGATATTTTTAAAAACTGCTTTGGTCACATCAGAATCTAAATCACTTCTTCATATTTTATGGCTGCCTAGTACTCCGTTATGAAGATACACTATCACCTACTTAACAGATCCTATCAAGGAATAGTTGCTTTTTTCCCAGCTACTAACTTTTGTACTGAACAGGTGAATAAGGTCCCAGACAAGTCTGTTTACCACTGTCATGGTATCTGAATGATAAATCCCTCCCTGTGAGATTGCTGGGTCAGCTCTCTGGCTTTGGTAGTTTTCTCAGGTATCCTTCCATCTTTCTTAGTGACTAAAACTGAAGGTGAAAGGGCTTAGGGCACAAATTAAATAGGACATCACTGCCATTGGTTCATCAATGGATGTTTGAGCAAAACCAGAAATGTTAAGGGTCACACAGGTATACATGTGTGATACATGTTCTCCACATGTATCTTCCCCAGGGTCACAGGTATTTTGCCCCTGCTTCGGCCTCTGCCCTTGGAAGATACCATTTCTCAATTGTTGACAGTAACTATGAACGACAAGGTAAGTCGTGGGACAGGGGAGGGCACTGCCTCGGAGGTCTATGTTGCTGGGGGACACAGGAAGAGGCCCTTAGCTCAGATACAGTCTGGTGCTAGAGGGACATCAGGCCTCAAGAGTTCCGTTTCTACAGAAGGCATCCCCTCCCCCACCCCCAGCCCAAAATACCCCAGAAGCAGGATAGGATAATGTTCCAGGTTGGGGCAGGGGTGGGGGAGGATGAGTTCTGGCAAAAAGGAAACCAGGAAATAGGACAGGGAGAAGAGGAGGACCGAGGGAAGAGGACAGGTGGAGAGTACTGCTGCACTCCCTTGACAAAGCTAACAGATGAGCCCTTTAACAGATTGAAGAATCAAAATCGTGTGGCACTGAGCTCAGTGAGGTCTATGAATGCAAGAACTGTAAGTACAACCACCAGACCCCCACCCTCCCCACCAGGGCTGCCCAGGTCAATAGAAGCAGGTGGCCCAGGCTTCTTTGGGATCCTATAGGTGATAGGCAGGAGAGCATGGAGCTGTGAGCTGCCTCCCCAAGCACCCAGGCTGAAAATATGGCAACTTAGCAGCTTCGCTGAACCACGGTGACTCATTCTCCAAGACACAACAGGACACAGAGCCCCTCTGGAGTCTCTGGTAGCACCCCAGTCCCAGTGGGGTGCAAAGTACCCAGTGTGGAGTTTGAGCAAGGAGCATCCTCACACCAAGGAGGCTGGGAAGCAGAAAATCCCTCTCAGGTCTCCTAACATCCAGGAGACCAAGATAACAGGACACATTAGGATGGCAGTTGCCAAGACAGTCCAAACAGGAACCTGTTGACATGTCCCATGACCCAGAGCAGACGAAATATGGGGCCTGGGCAGCAAGACTCTTAGTGGTGTTGTCACATCACCTTCCTCTCCATAGTCTCCTCCTAGACACACGTGGAAAAGCTAGTGAGGCAGCAGATTTCTGCCTGGGGCCAAGGGAAAGGGAGGCGTCCAGAGCACAACCTCCAGGGGACTGCAAGTGTCTCCACATGCTCTCTTGTCCTCTCACCTGCAGCTACTGGCTTGTTCAACTACCAAGTTAAAGGTTCCAGGATTTCTGAAGAAGGTCTTTCGATCCTCTACTGTGTAAGTGTTCTTTGTGTTTATGATGGGTTCTGTAAGAGGCATGGAGATATCCCTAAACTCACCAAATAAACTCCAAATCATGACAAACCAGCCTTCCTCCCTCCTCGGATCCCCAGACCTTCACCCTGTGGCGATCTCCAGGCTTCTACCGTAACAGCTAAGTGCCTGCTACAGGGGCCAGCCATGTTTTCCCTTCCATTTATTTCTAATGCACAGTGCCTGAGATGCATATCCAATGACGACAATTTTTTCTTGACGAGCAGGATGTACCCAGCACCGGTTAGACATTCAACAGACTATATTTAAGGAAAGAAAAAGTGTAGACTCTCCCACCCCCCCTCTCAACCACCCAGGGAATGGAAAACTAGGCTATGAGGAGTACTCAAGAGAGGCAAGGTTTTGGGCCCACTTAACTCTACTCGTGGGAATCCATCTGTATAGACATCCCAGGTACAGATATATTTAAGCACAAAGAAATATAAGTATTAATGACAAGGGGGAAAAAATTGGAAATGAACTGGAAGGAAATAACTAAGTATGAGATTATTAGAAATGCTTACAAAGTATGAAAGTATGGTTAATTTTTTAAAGCATAATACAAGTGATATTATATACAGGCAAAGAAAGAAAATAAGGTGAAATATTAGTGATATCCACTCAAAATCTCTTTTCCCTTCTGGACTTCTCAAATTTCCTGCCATGTGCAGTTTGCATTTTATAAACAGAGAACACAACGTGTACCGAAAGAAGAGCAATCATTCAAAGGAGGCCAGAATTCCATAGATAAGATGAGCCTTGAGTGTGCTTGACAAGACAGTCATCCTAAGGTTGGGAGAACTGTGAGTTAGGTACAAACATGCATTCACACACACATATTACTTGAGGCAACATTTACATGGAGGAAGTCACTGGAAAATGAAGCCACATAACTTCTCTTGGAAAATCGGAGGTCTGGGGGACCGAGGAGCACTGTTTCAGGGCTAATCGGCTGGAGACGGCAGTGCTTCCTCCTCCCTCAGGGGCTCCTCTCTCCCACGACCTCCCCTACAGTCCTGCAACAAGGGGGCTGGGAGGTCAACTGCGCTTTGTCTTCATGCTCGTCCACTGTGGGGCTCGCTTGGGGCCACCTCACTCCTCAGCATCAAGGACGGGCCTTCGAAGACCCTGAAATTGACGGCAGTCTCACATAATAACACGGATGTTTCTCTTGTTCTCTCTCTAGGCCTACTTTAACCAAAATAAATCCCCTGTGCTTGGAAGGCACCTTCCTCCAGATCCTAAAAACGTCAACACTGCCGTGATTTTGTCCCAAATGATGCTCAGGGAGATCATCACTAAAAGTGCCAAGGAGAGCTCTGTCAAGGTGAGCCTCATCCACATGGCCCCTCCACCCTCCTCTTTGCTCAAGTCTAGCCCATCAACCTCTAAGTGAGAGAAGGTAGGAATGCCAAGAGGGTTCTGGAACGTTCTTCCAGAGATGAAGACGAATAAATGTTTGGGATACAGATTTTCCCTGAATGGCCGTCTACTTGGGTCTTGTATATAATGCACCAGGGGAAGGGAGAGAGCAGGGGCACAGGGTGGGCAGGAGTTCTGGGGGGCAGAGCTGCTCCTCCCCATTTTACAAGTGACCAAAGTGAGGGAAGCGACTTAACCAACACTCTCAGCATGTGCGAGGGAGTGGGTTTATCTACATAGGAGGTATTTCCTGCCCAGAAAGCGGTAGAAGGCAGGCAGTTACAACAAAATCATGATCTTCAGTACTCTCCATGTGCGAGGTCCTATTTCAATGCTTCCTTAACAGAGTCTCCCAAAATCATCAGGTGCAGAGCTATCTGCTACAAGAGCACAGAAAGAAATGGGCTCTAAACTGGATGAGGAATAATAGAAACGTGTTTCTGTGCCACGGGCCCCACTGTCTTTTCCAGAGAGGAAATGAGATAAAGGGAGATGTCTGGAATGAGATGGTGTCTGTGTGGTCCTATGAGCTGTGGCAGCACCCAGCAAGGTGACCAGCGCATACCACAGGATCCATAAATATCTGAATAACGGAATCGAGCAATGCATGAATATCTCACCATGCAACATCCTGCAGCCCTTCTCCCTCTCTACACTCTAAACGATGATTTCTTTACCACAGATAAACAACCTGGACGCAGCGATCACCAAAGTGGTTTACACCCACCTGCCGAACAACAAAATCAACGCCACCTACTGGGTCACTGTAGCAAGGAATGGTGAGAAGATAGCCACTGGGCAGACGGTGAGTGCCAAGTAACCAACTGGGAATGAGCTGTGAGGAAGAATGAATAGGAGCAGAGGTCCCATGAAAAGAAGAGTGCTCTGTAGGGGGAACTAGCACCAAAACTCTGTGGGTCAGAGTGTCCCTAGGAGGAGGAGACCAATCAGGCTGGTAGGCTGTCTCCTAAGACCTGGTCATCTCCACTCCAGGCCTCACCTGTCACTTTGCTGGTCATATCACAACATGACATGTTTGCTGAGTAGCCTGGGGAAAGTATTTTTCAACTTGTTTGTTTTATATTCATGCAGAATGTCATCATCTCCCATGCAAGTGAGATTTCAAACAACAAAATCAAAACAATCATCAAGATTGAGAGGTACAGTCTATAACTACAAACTCCTCTTGACATTCATCAGCATAGGATGCAATATCAAGAAACCAATTCAAAAACTACTGTAGAGGCACAGGGAGCTCAACCCGGTGCTCTGTGACAACCCAGAGGGGTGGGAGGGGGCGAGGGTGGGGATGGCTCAAGAGGGCAGGGACAAATGTATACTTATGAGTGATTCATGTTGTTGTATGGCAGAAGCCAACACAATATTGTAAAGCAATTATCCCCCAATTAAGAAAAAAAAAAAGAACCCAATTCAAATCACATGCAAAGAATAATAGACAAGGCCTTTGAAAAATACTTGGATCATTACAGGGAAATCAGAAGGAAGTTTTACTCACATGCTGTTATGCCCCTTAAATCTGCTCTTTCTCCTCTGTATTTATTATAACATTTTATAAGTGACTTCAAGAAGCAACTGAGCTAATATCTACACTCTACTTTAGTACTGATTAATAATTGTTATTTGAAAATAATTTTTCCTTATATTTCCTGACAGGGCTGTATACAGCATGACACCCCCTGAGGCTGTAAGTCAATTTGATTTTTCAAAATATTTATCTATGATAGGTGAGAAATTATTTTAAAGCCAGGCACTCAGTAAAACAGGACTCTGCGAAAAAAAAAAAAGTCATGCAGACTGGATCACAGACACAACGTGGAATAGGACTGCAGGTTCCAAACCTAGGTTCTCTCTGGGAAGCTCTTAAAACCCGGTTCCCCAACCTAATTCAATGACCTCAGTTAATGACCTAAAGGAAGGCTTAGAATCTGTGCTCTTTTAGTGTTGGGTGATTCTGATATACCAGGAAGTCTTGGGGGTCCACAGAAAGGAAGAAAAGAGGATGTGGATACTAATTATGCCTTGGCTCACCAGAGCATCTCACTACCCCCATCTTTATGACATTTGATCTTCCACATGCACATAATTATACTTTCATTCAACAAACATTCAAATATTTAGTGAGCATCACTACATGTCTGACCCTAAAATCTATAACATGAAACAATGGTGAGGTCCCAGGTTCCAAGAGTGACTCTCCAGTTTAAGCAGGAGGACAAGGACAGATTAAAATCATATATAAATTAAGCCCCATCATTAAGAGTCTGGTAACCACACACTGGCTGAAGGCACACAATAGGCACCCAGAGGCAAATAACCTTATATCTATGTCCCAGGTGTCAGCCCTGAGACAGGGGCATGTCCGCTGAGAGGTAGACTCTGGGAGTTAGTGTAAGCCCAGGTTGCTTCATCTTAACCTGTACTGGGCAGCTATGTGTTAGGGCAAGCTCTGTGCAGGGGAAGGATCACAGAAGCCGTGAACCCTGACTACATGTAACAGGGAACAGGGAACAGACACTGGTGCAACAGCTATCAACTGACCATGAAAAAGACAAAGGGCAGGAAGCATGAACTGGTAGGCAGACTGCGGGTTCACTGAGAAAATGATGCCTGAACTCAGCCCTGAAGAAGGAGCAGTTTACCAGAGAGCAAAGGTGTATACCAGGTAGAGGAAATAGGATGTGCAAAGGGCAGGCAGCGTGGAATCACAGGCCTGTTAAAGAGAATGCAAAAGAAGGAAGGTAAACAGAGCACCAGATCTAGGAGGGACCCGGAATGGATCCAAAAGAGTACAGTCCATCCTCCCGAAATACTGAAACTGCATCTGGCCTAAGGGCACACAGCTGCATCTCGGTGCCGACAACAATGTCTGGAACATGACAGGAGCCCAATAAACACTGGCCAAGGAGCCATCCAAGGCATCAAAAACCTACTTGAAGGGTCTTTGAAAATCCCCAAAGAATTAGAGGCCTGAGGGACAGATTGAGATCCACCTCCCCACATAGCCTTGTCGAGTACCAGAAAAAAAAAAAGCCCACATGTCCAGAGGAACCCAAGACCACTTTCCACCATGTGAGGACTAGCTGGGAGGCGAGCAGAGGTACTAACAAAAACACTCCACCCAACTTTTTCAGGAGGATGAAGGAAGAGATGTGCTACCTGGAGTTCTGAAGAGATTTCTACCTGCTGTTATCGGTATGTGGAACTAGTAATGTGAACACCATAAAAGTTAGTGTCACTGAAAGGTAGAGACAGGGCAGCACACTGCAGCCTGTGCTGCAGCAACAAGCAGACTGTCGTCTGGCCACTGTGGGGCTGAAGGGCACGTTTCTGTTATCAGATACGGACCACAGCACTTTGAGATTGGCAAAACACGAAAACCAAATCAAAATGTCTCTTCTCCCGGTCCAAATGAAATCCAGCCCACCAGATGTCTTCAGAACAGCATTATGCCACTCAGAGGAAAGAAACATGGACCACGTCACCTAGTCACATAGATAACAGAGTTTGAGAAATTTAGGAGTATGAGTTCATAACCCTGATGATCATCAAGAGATAGGACACAAAATGCCATCTATGCTTATTAATGATGAACTCTATAGAGGGATTTATGTATTGCAAATGAAATCAAAAGAGCAAGGCTTAAATCTTCTGGTTTCTTAAGAGAAAGAGGGCAGACATGCCAGCATATCTCTTGGTATCGATTATACCCATCAGATTTCCAGTTAGCTCTAGGGTCCTTGAGAACTCACCCTCACACACACAGAAGACTGGGAGAAACTGTGTCTTAACTCAGATCCCTCTGTTGAAGGGGCGGGGAAGAGATTTCTCCTAGAGCCACACTCTGCCCAGAGACATTCTCCAGTTGACTGTGGCTAAAACAACCCAGTCTAGCCATTGTTTCTTTCAACTCAGATCATAAGATGTGCCTTCTTTTTTTCAGGAAATGTAAATCAATGGAATATTCCACTAGGAGTAATCCCAAATTCTCTAAACAGTGCCAAGCTTCAAGTGCTTAACTCGGTAAGAGAAAGAAATATAAACATTTTCCTTTCACATTAAAGTCCACTCTGCGCGTCAGTCTTCAGAGTAATGAATAAGGCCAGTGGGCCCTGGCATCAAAGTCTGTCTGGGCTGTCTCACCAGCTCCATCCCTAGCCTTTCCTAAGCAGATTCACTGACTACTGTCCCTTTAGTTACCATGTAAGTTCTAACCCTGAGAGTGGAAACACGTACACGCATGCCCAGATATGTCCACCTCTTTGCGACCCCATGGACTGTAGGCCACCAAGCTCCTCCGTCCATGGGATTTCCCAGGCAAGAATACTAATGTGTTGCCATTTCCTCCTCCAACTGATCTTTCCAAGCCAGGGATCAAACCCATGTCTTCTGCACTGACAGGCAGATTCTTTACCACTGGGCCACCGGGGAAGCCCTGCATCCCCACTACGTACGCCTGATTCATCCACACTGTCGCCTTGTGACTGTGAAGCCTCTAGTTCTTTACCACCCTGACTCAGATTTCCCCTTCTTCCCCTCTAACTAACCTCACACTTAGAGAAACCTGAAAAAAGAACTTGCTTTCTGAAAAACAGTTAAAAGGATGGAACTTTTATGTAAATTTGCCACCAGGAAAACAGTGAAAGAGGGGAGGAACTAGAGAAGATATACAAGAGAGTAAAGAAGTTTAGAATCTCCATCACCCTTACAATGTTCCATTCTTGATAAACATGTTTAATGAGTATGCCATCTGACTGGGAAAACATTACTTTCTTTCATGTTGGTTCAAATTTCAGAAGTCTTACATTCCAATTTTTACTTAATCCCCCAAAGTCCATGAATCTGTGACCAAATCAATTACTAGAGTGCAGAGGCTGGTAAAATCAGCACTTGCCTCATTGTTAGCTTTCTACCTCCTACTCTTGTGCTCCGTAACTATGAGGGGCCTGGACATATCACTTAGCCTCCCCCATTCCACCCTAGTTAAGGGACTGGATGAGATGAATGCCAATTGTGTTTCAGCTGCAAGTGACAGGAAGCTCAACCAAAATTGGTTCAAGCAACAACACAGAATTATTGGTCCTGAACATCCAGGGGTGGTGCTAACTTCAGTAGTGGCCCAAATGTGACCCCAGAATCCATCTCTTGACTCTAAATCCTTTGGGGTGGGCTCTATTTTGGCTCTGCATTGGGGGTCTCCCACTACCAGGAACTTCACCCTGTTTCTGGAATAACAAATGACAGTCATCCAGAAGTAACATCTGGGGCTCCCACTGGCCTGAATTGTTCCACATCCCCATCCTTAACGCCAGTGCTGTGGTCAGGCGGATGGAGTACACTGGCTGGCTCAGCCTGTGCCTGCACCAGCTTATGTAATTAAGAGTATAACTGGCTGTCTTTTGTCTCCCCACAGAATGATTTTCAAGCTGCAAACTAAACCCAGCACCGGAAGCCAGGGAATGTTTCGGAATCAAAGCAAAGACACTCTGTAATCCCTCTCTATGCAACACTGTGGACAAGACATCCTTTTAACTAAGGAATTAAGTACAGTTAGTGTTCTCAACATGTCCAACTATGCTTTGGAATTTCACCAACACCACCCTGAATGAACAAGTGTAAGAAAGGCAGGAATCCAGGGATAGGAGGGACTTTTCTAATTATCTCACCAATAAATATCCTGTTTTCATGCAGAATTTTTAAAAAGTGATATGTCTTTAATTCTTACAAATAAGAATTCCATTGTATGTTTATGACTAGTAAAAGCGCTTCTTACTGGGGACATAAAATTAGTAATGTGAGTGATGAGGCCACAAACTCAGGATTACTTTATTGAGTGCTCTAGGGAACAATCCTGGCAATGATTAAGACTTTTCTTCCCATAGCTCAGGCCTCCCCTCCCAAACGCCAAACATTCTCTTCTGTTCATTGGCCCAACATGAAAATCACAGAGGGGCTAGGATCCAACTTCCCCATCATCACACATTAAAAACTGAAGGGCACAGTCCAAATGCTAAAAGCTGGATGGAACAGAGCAGATAAGTGTCCGATAATACCATAAACAGGGCAGCAAAGGATCTAGATCCCAGCGCAGGGACTACAGGCCAGGCCAAGTGGCTGTGAGAGGAAAGCCAATCAAAGTTAGGTCAGTAAGTGCAGAGGAACCCAGAAAAATACAGAACACGGATAATGAGAAACACAACTATGAACTCTATACCAGGCAGAGACTCTCGGCCCTATGCCAGTGTCTTGCACAACTATGTGCTCCGGAACCAAAACAGCTCAGGTTGTAGACACAAAAGATCAGAAAGGGAAGCAAGGCCAGAGACTAGGCGTGCCTTACAGCAAGGGACAGGATCGCACAAGACAAAGACCCAATCACACTCTTAATGGGTATGGTGTTCTATTCTGGAGCGATGGTTTGGAACTAGAGGTTGTAACTGAACAATTTAACTTTATGTTATGTGAATTCCACTTCCATTTAAGAAACAAAAAACGGGACTTCCCTTGTGATCCAGTGGTTAAGACTTCGCCTCCCAATGCAGAAGGTGAGGGTTTGATCCCTGGTCAGAGAGCTAAGCTCCCACATGCCTCACAGCCAAAAAACCAAAACATAAAACAGAAGCAATATTGTAACTAATTCAATAAAGACTTTTAAAAAAGGTATGCATAAAAAAATTTTTAATAAATAAAAAACAAGAAAGCTTCCAAATCACATTAGCAATGAGTATATCTAGTACCCAAATGTTGATTTCTACACCATTCTTTATCAAAGGAACCTAACCAGTCCCCTTGGAGAAATGGCTAATTCTAGGACTAGAAAAGAAACAGAAAAGATGACCCAGAACAGCTCAGATGCAAGGACGAAGGCACTCATACAAAAGTGGAAGTGTGTCAAAGGGATAGAGGGCCAAGAAAAAGAGCTTCCAGAGCTGAAAAAATTTGACCAATGAAATATATAAAGGAGTACTGGATTATCAATCCTGAATATTCATTAGAAGGGGTGCTGAAGCTGAAGCTCTGATACTCTGGCCACCTGATGTGAAGAGCCAACTCATTGGAAAAGACCCTGATGCTAGTAAAGACTGAAGGCAAAAGGAGAAGGGGGAAGCAGAGGATGAGATGGTTAGAGAGCATCACCAATTCAATGGACATGAATCTGAGCAAACTCTGGGAGATGGTGGAGGACAGAGGAACCTGACATGCTGCAGTCCATGGGGTCGCAGAGAGTCAGACGTGACTTAGTGACTCAACAACTGGACTATAACCCATAAAGTAAAATAAATACCTAGCAGCCTATACTAATATAAATAAATGACTCAGTAAATATACAGGTGAGAACAGGCAAATCTCCTGTGCAGAAGCCAAAATGATTTACACAGCTACTGCACCCTTGAGGAGGTAGGGCATAACTTCCATTCAGTAAGCTTTAGCTGCACATGGTGACTTTTCTCCAAAGAGCACAGTATGGAAAGGAGAAAAAAAAACGAATTGTACAATGAAAAAATCTGACAAACACTACCTGAAGCCAAGTGATCAAGGTTAGTATAAACAGTGATAAATCATATTAATAGCATGTACCCTTATAATGGAATGAGAATGGTATTTTACCTTCGTGGTCTTCCTTCCCAAAACACGTAATTCCAATCTAAACATGAGAAAAATGTAACAAATCCCAACAGAGGGACACTGCAAAATATCTGACCAGTTCTCCTCAAAACTATCAATGTCATCAAAATTACAAGTCTAAGTCAAGAGGAGCCTAAAGAGACAAGACTGTAATGTGGCCTCCCAGATGAGATTCTGGAAAAATAGAGATTAGGGAAAAATTGAAGCTATCTGAATAAAGTATGGCTTTCAGTAAATAATGTATCACTATTGATTTATTAATTGTAACAAATGAACCATAATAAAATATTAGAATAGGGAAAACTGGGTACAGTGTATAGAGAAACTCTCTGCACCAGTTTTGCAATAATTCTGTAAAACTATTTTAAAATTTAAAATTTAAAAACATGAAACAAAACATTAACAAAAACTAAGAAAAACAAAAGAGCACAAGAGTCAACCTGAAAGAGCTCCCAATGCCCAAACTGGGATCAATTTGAGCAAAATTAAATAAATATCAGAGTATAAACCATAATATAAACACCCATGAGTCCATTCTGATATAAATGATGGAAATACATAAATAGGGGGAAAGAGGCATTTTTCCTACAGAATTCCAAATAATACATGTAAATAACCCCCCGCTTTGGAGTTTGGGCTTAATCCCCACCAACTAGTAGGTGATAAAAGATTAACTTCCACAATGATGTTTATATCATGTACACTCTGGTATGATTTGATAATAAAGGTACTAATCATAAGAAAATAGCAGAAAAATCCAAACTGAGAATTTGTGACTAGTACTCTTCAGAAGCATCAGTCACGAAAAACAAGGGAAGACTGAGTAACTTTCATAAATCACAAGAGACCTAGGAGACATGACAACTAAATGCAATGTGGTACCTTGGACTGGATACTGGAATAGAAAGGTACATTCATTAGAGGAAAAGCTGGTGAAATCTGAATGAAGTTTTGCATTTAGTGAATAGCAAAGTGCCAATATCAATTTCCTAGCTCTGACAAATGAACACTATGCTGTGTGATAACTTAGGAGAATGCTCTATGAACTCACTTTGCAACTTCTCTGAAAGTCAAAAAATATTTAAAAATTTAATAAATTAAAAACCATCCAATGCCTCCCCACTGTATTTAAATAAAACCCATCAGGCCTCAAAGGTTCTGGACAATGTACCTAAAGTCAACCTTTCCCATCTCATCCCATATTAGACCAGTCTCTCCCTCCCTGACAATATTTCATCTACACAAAGCTCCCAGTTTTATTCAACTCTCCCAACTAATCACCAAACTCTTTCTCTTGCCATGAGATCTGTGGCAGACTATAATCCAAAGACGGCAGCAAGACCTGCCATCCCACATACTCTTCAGGAACCCAGCCACTTCCCATTAAGAGGAGGAACCTTAGTTTCCTTTATTTAAATCTGAGTGCAAATGTGAGTTCCTGAAAATCAATAGTAACTCCTTTTTCTTTACCCTGTATGATTCAGAAGTGAATTAATTAAAACAAGAATTACAAATCTATGTTAAGGGGTACACAGTGCATTAAGATGTATTTTAGAACAATAACAACAAAAAGGGATGGAATGGTACCCTTCAATGTTTTTGAATCCTATTTGAAACTAAATTAATATCAATTGGGCTGTTAATAAGTTAAGATATTATAACTCTCAAAGCAACCATTAAGGGCTTCCCAGGTGACATAGTGGTAAAGAATTCGCCTGCAATGCAGGATATGCAAGAGATGCAGGTTCAATCCTTGGGTAAGTAAGATACCCTGGAGTAGGAAATGGCAACCCACTCCAGTATTCTTGCCACAAAACTGCACGGACAAAGGAGCCTGGTGGGCTACAGTCCATGGAGTCGCAAGGAGTTGGACACGACTGAGTAACTAACACTTTCACTTCTCACTTTCACCTACTATACAGTAGGCACCATTCTTTTTTTAATGATTATTTATTTATTATTTATTTTGGCTATACTGGGTCTTAGTTCTGCCACATGAGACTTCTTAGTTACAGCATGCACGCAGGACCTGGTTCCCCAACCAGAGATCAAATCCAGGCCCTCTGCATTGTGACTGCAGAGTCTTACACACTGGACCAGAGAAGTCCCAAATGCTGGCCTTTTCTGATCCAGGAAAACAGTAAAAGGCAGGAAACTGACCAATTACAGACACTTGTTGTATCGTTTGAATTATTTACCACATGTATGATTTACTTTTTCATAAAAAGTAAAATTTTCAAAAGTTTTTCATGTCTTCTGAATAAAGAACTGAGGTGAAGAGTGATAACAAATATTTCTTGAATAGAAGATTTTTTTTTTTCTTAATATTTACTTTTATTTGGCTGCAACAAGTCTTAGTTGCAGCATGCAGGATCTTCAACTTTCATTGTGGCATGTGGGATCTAGTTCCCTGACCAGGGATCGAATCTGGACCCCCTGCAATGGGAACTCGGAGTCTTAGCCACTGGACCACCAGGGAAGTCCCAGAATATGGATTAACCCCCTCAAGCCATGCCAACTGGTATGGAAGAGGTTCCTAACCTGGGATTCTCAAAGGTTTCTATGCAGGTCAGTGGGAAGGGGTAAAAAGGAGATCATAGCCATACACACAATAAAAGCCTCAGCATATCCTAATATACACAGTGTGTTTTAGAAGCAAAATTTTTCAATGATCACTCTTCATCTGTTAAGATTTTACTGTGTTCCACATACAGTGCTAGGTTCCTCACAAGTACAATCTCACTGAACTCCAGATGAGATAAGCATTGTATTATTATCCCATGTCACATGAGAAAATCAAGGCACAGATAAATCATAAAATAACTACTCAAGTTCACACAACTCTGAAAAAATGGAGCGGGAACTTAGACCAGAGTCCTTCTGACTCCAAATATTCTATACCACCATTTTTTGGATTTTTTCACATGATCCCCACAGAATGACATAATCTTGGCAGATTAAGGAGCCAAGAGTGACTCCTCAGAGCCTACTAGAAGGTAATGATGTTTTCTAAACTCCAAATGCTGTCAGTGAAAGTGAAAGTGAAGTCGTGTCCAACTCTTTGCGACTCCATGGACTGTAGCCTACCAGACTCCTCCATCCATGGAATTCTCCAGGCAAGAGTAGTGGAGTGGGTTGCCATTTCCTTCTCCAGGGGGATCTTCCCGACCCAGGGATCAAACCCAGGTCTCCCACATTGCAGGCAGACACTTTAACCTCTGAGCCACCAGGGAAGCCCCTGAAGGCAAAAAATAATCTGACAAGCTTGAAAAAAAAAAAATGGGGGTCCATGAGGGAATTTCTCAGGTAAAACAAAGTGAGAAGATAGGTAGCTGAGTCAATGTCATCAAACCAAAATGTTAGACAGATCTAGAGCAGTTTTTCCTAAGCAAACGGTTCTTTCCACCTTCCCTAACCCTTTAGTCTCCAATTCCTAGGGTACATGAGAAAGAACCAGAGAAGTATTACAGTCCACAACAGAAACTGGGCTGGGAAATTAGGGAAAATCTCAGAGACACTCACCAAGGCAAAAATGAGGTAAAAGTAGGTAAAAATGAACTACTTTAGGTAAATTTAATGACTGTAAAAGCTGTTCACAAAGCAGCAAATAAATGCATTTTCCATTTCATAGAAAGTTGCTTCACCACTTGAGGCTTGGCTCCAAAGCTTCATCTTTCATTAGTGACCAGTCATATTTCTCTTGCTGCCAGAAAGGACTGACGCCAACCACTAAGGTCAGCAATATGCTGTGGAGTCCTTTAGAGTGGTCTTGCGGAGAACATGTCCTTTAAGTGTCTGAGAACTGGCTGAGGTGATCTGAAAGAAAACCAATCAGAAGAAGGCAAGGTAACTGGGACTGAACTACAGGGACTTAATGTGAATGGTCCAAAGGAGAGGCCACCAAATGGAATCTAAGGGGTATGACAGGCCAGCATCTTGAGGCTGCACGGTTTCCTCTACACCCTCAGAGACGTCTGATACAATACTGATGTATATAATTTAAGAAGTCCAAAACAGGTCAGTCCCAGACAGCCACTACTCCCTTTTCTCTTGGGAGATGGTCTTCCACAGAGCCAACCACAAGGTTTATGTACAAGCTGCCTAACACAGACATGTGTGCGTGGTAAGTCACTTCAGTCATGTCTGACTCTGCAACCCTATGGACTGCCAGGGTCCTCTGTGCATGGGATTCTCCAGGCAAGAATACTGGGAGTGGATTGTCATGTCCTCCTCCAGGGGATCTTCCAGACCCAGTGATCAAACCCGAGTCTCTTGCATCTCCTGCACTGGCAGGCGGGTTCTTTACCACTAGTGCCACCTGAGAAGCCTACCACAGACGCTGCCCTCCCAACCCCAAAGGCAGCTGTGATCCAGGCTGTACCAGTCAAACACCTTCCTAAGACATTTATTGTGCCAAGATGCATTACTACAAACAAAGCTAGTGTATGTGATGGAATTCCAGTTAAAAAGTGCTGCACTCTGTTTATAATAGCCAGGACATGGAAGCAACCTAGATGCCCATCAGCAGACGAATGGATGAGGAAGCTGTGGTACATATACACCATGGAATATTACTCAGCCATTAAAAAGAATTCATTTGAATCAGTTCTAATGAGATGGATGAAACTGGAGCCCATTATACAGAGCGAAGTAAGCCAGAAAGATAAAGACCATTACAGTATACTAACACATATATATGGAATTTAGAAAGATGGTAACGATAACCCTATGTGCAAAACAGAAAAAGAGACTCCTATGTATAGAACAGACTTGTGGACTCTGGGAGAAGGCGAGGGTGGGATGTTTCAAGAGAACAGCATTGAAACACGTATATTATCTAGGGTGAAACAGTTCACCAGCCCAGGTTGGGTGCATGAGACAAGTGCTCGGGCCTGGTGCACTGGGAAGACCCAGAGGGATTGGGTGGAGAGGGAGGTGGGAGGGGGGACCGGGATGGGGAATACATGTAAAAAAAAAAAAAAAAAGATACACTATGGTTGTGATAAAAAAAATAATAATAAATAAATAAATTAAAAAAAAAAAAAATCCAGAAGGAGAAAAAAAAAAAAAAAGTGCTGCACTCAATATGTCGGCAAATTTGGAAAACTCATTAATGGCCACAGAACTGGAAAAGGTCAGTTTTCACTCCAATCCCAAAGACATGCAATGCCAAAGAATGTTCAAACTACTGTAAAATTGCACTCATTTCACACGCTAGCAAGGTAATGCTCAAAATCTTTCAAACTAGGCTTCAGCAGTATATGAACCATGAACTTCCAGATGTTCAAGCTGGTTTTAGAAAAGGCAGAGGAACCAGAGATCAAATTGCCAATGTCCGCTGGATCACTGAAGAAGCAAGGGAGTTCCAGAAAAACATCTATTTCTGCTTTATTGACTATGCCAAAGCCTTTATGACTGTGTGGATCACAATAAACTGTGGAAAATTCTGAAAGAGATTGGAATACCAGACCACCTGACCTGCCTCTTAAGAAATCTGTATGCAGGTCAGGCAGCAACAGTTAGAACTGGATATGGACCAACAGACTGGTTCCAAATAGGAAAAGGAGTACGTCAAGGCTGTATATTGTCACCCTGCTTATTTAGCTTATATGCAGAGTACATCATGAGAAACGCTGGGCTGGAGAGAGCACAAGCTGGAATCAAGATTGCCGGGAGAAATATCAATAACCTCAGATATGCAGATGACACCACCTATACGGCAGAAAGTGAAGAACTAAAGAGCCTCTTGATGAAAGTGAAAGAGGAGAGTGAAAAAGTTGGCTTAACGCTCAACATTCAGAAAACAAAGATCATGGCTTATGGTCCCATCACTTCATGGCAAACAGATGAAGAAACAGTGGAAAGAGAGGCAGACTTTTATTTTCGGGGGCTCCAAAATCACTGCAGATGGTGACTGCAGCCATGAAATTAAAAGACACTTACTCCCTGGGAGAAAAGTTATGACCAACCTAGACAGCATATTAAAAAGCAGAGACATTACTTTGCCAACAAAGGTCCATCTAGTCAAGGCTATGGTTTTTCCAGTAGTCATGTATGGATGTGAGAGTTGGACTATAAAGAAAGCTGAGCGCCAAAGAATTGATGCTTTTGAACTGTGATGTTGGAGAAGACTCTTGAGAGTCTTGGACTTCAGGGAGATCCAACCAGTCCATCCTAAAGGAAATCAGTCCTGAATATTCATTGGAAGGACTGATGTTGAAACTGAACTCTAATACTCTGGCCACCTGATGCGAAGAGCTGACTCATTTGAAAAGACCCTGATACTGGGAAAGACTGAAGGAGGGAGGAAAAGGGGAAGAGAGGATGAGATGGCTGGATGCCGTCACTGACTCAATGGACATAGAATTTGAGTAAACTCCGGGAGTTGGTGATGGACAGGGAGGCCTCGCGTGCTACAATCCATGGGGTTGCAAAAAGTCGGACACAACTGAGTGACTGAGCTGAACTGATGAAGATAAAATGGGCTAATGTAAACAGTGACAAGAGCAAAGCAGACAGAAGATGCTTTCAGCACTAGTGAGTTTTTTCAAGGAGGTGACATTTGAGAGAAGTTGCAAGGTTTAAAAGAAGGCAGCCAGGCAAAAATCAAGACCCTCCTAAGTGACACAGCATTTTCAAAGTCCCTAACACTAGAACAAAGTCTGAGAGGCAAAAAAAAAGGCCACTAAGACTAGAAGAAAGAGAATAAAAAGAGGTCAGAGGACATGACGTTGGAAAGGTAGCTGGGAAAGACCATAAAAGGCCTTGGACACCCTGCGACTCCAATGAGAAACCACTGGAGGGCTTAGGCAAATGAGAGAGTGATCTGATTTAGAAGATCAAACTGACTGCTATGGGGCAGGAAGACTAGAGGAGGGCAAGAATGAAAGCAGGAATACAAAGCCTCTGAAGTACTCAGGTACTGTGGGTGGGAGTGCAAAACAGTATAATCATTTTGGCTCTTTCTACTATATATACCCAGTAAACCATATACCCCATAGAAATGCACTGTAACACATACATAGCAGCTCTATTTGTAATAGCTCCAAACTGGAAACAACCAAAATGGCCATCAAAAGTACAATATATAAATTGTGGTATATTCATATACTATGGATAAATATTATCATAGATGAACTGTACAACATCCATGTTATCAAAAATCTACACTGTATGATTCAATTTTATATCAAAAACAAGAAAAACTGAACTATGGTATTAAAAATTAGGATGGCAGGAAGAAGAGTATGATAGGAACATGAGGGGGGTTTTGGAGGTTCTGAAAATACTGTTTTTTGATTCAGGAGGCAGTCACACAGGTAGGGTCACTTTGTGATGATTCATCAAGTAGTAAGTACACTTTTGAGCAATTTTCTACATTTATGATATGCTTCAATAAAATAATTCACTATCAAAATACAGAAACAGAAAACCTGTGAAAAGGCTGCACTAATCTAAGCTAAGCTGACAGCTTAGAGAAAGAAAGAGATCCAAGATACATTCCACAGGTGGAGGTGAAACAGATGAACTACTGATGGGGAGTACAAGGAAATAAATATCTAGGATGATGCCTATATTTTTGGTTTTAGCAACTGAGTGGTGCTATCTGCTAAGACGGAAGAGACTTCAAAAGAAGAAAATTGCAGGAAAGTGGGAAGAATTCGTTCTATTTTGGCCACATTAAGTTTAGGACACAAGAAAGAAAGAAGAAAAATGCAAATCTGGAGAGGATATGAAGGGATGGAAGCAAAAAGCACAAGCAGCAGTGTGACAGAAGATGCAGACACTTCCTACACAGCCCACGTGAGCAGACAGCAGGGACAAGCAGAGATGCGTGTGAGTGGGTGCTAACAACGATGAGACAGTGAGATGTCACATGACGGCATCTATTTTCTCTACACAAGATGAGACAAAGACATCAGCTAAGACTAGGATTTAAAGACATGAGTGAAGATTTAGGGAGAACGAAGAGGGGAAAAGCCAATTTATTGGGAAAATACTGTAAAATTAGGATTTCAGGGCCATGCCGAGTGTTCAATTTGAACTTTATGGCATAAATGTGAACTGAGTGCAGTTGGTTTCTGTGAAGAGACTGTCTCTTGTCCCCCAGTAGTTCTCTTCCTCCTCAGTAACAGAATTCCCAATTTTTAACTGGGCACGTGGTCATTCGGAATGAAGACTGTACTTCTCAACTTCTTTGCAGCCTTTGTGTGAAACTTCTGCAAAGTGTCTTGAAAGGAATAAGGCATGCGCTTCACCTCTCTTCCTACTTCCTACAAGCGAGGATATGGACATGGTTGCTGCAACAGCCATCCTGAATCATAAGATGACCTTGAGAATGGAGGCCACACAGAGAAGAGCAAAAGACAGAAGCAGTCAAGACCCTTGGTGATCATGGAGCCATCACAGTCACCAGCCCTGGATCTTCCATATATCTAGATTTTTATGAGAAAGAGAACGTCTGCTTATTTAAGCCAGTGTATTCTGAGTTTTCAGTCACCATCATCGGACCTAACCTATGTCATACAGATTAACTGGGTGCTCTTCCCCAACAATATTTAGCTGTTTTCACGCAGATACAAAGTAAGCAGATAATCATTTTCACCAAGGTTGGAGTCTAGATAAATAAGCACCACAAAAGACAGGGCAAGAAGAAAACAGAATTTATGAGGAAATGGTTCTAGTACAGCCCAGAGACTCTAAGTGGAGAAAGATGAGAACAGCAGATACAAGTGACAGAAACAGCCAACAGACCCCTGGTTTCACAGTTTCTCCTTTATTTTGCTCCCTCCACTAAATCTTACTTGTCGGGTTTATTATGTCACTTTGGAACAACTTGAGTCCCAAGTATCACCTTTCTGTCTTTCTTGACAAATGGAACTTTTTCCATTTTACAGAAGAATATCATACTAACATTATAACCCAACCCACTAACCTCATCCCTTTTATCTATAGTAGAAAGGGAATAGGAAGAGGTATGAAAAAGCAACGGAAAATCAAAGAAGCAAAAATTCAGAAAACGAAGAAGAAAACAAGACAGTGTCAGAAAGAAAGAAAGAACAAGTGGAAAAGCCTGAGAGACTGTTTCCACATCAGTCAGGTTGCTACCTAGTAGGAATTTCTCCCCTGAGGAAACCTCTAGGCAACAATGAAAGTAAGACAATCCCCTGTCTGAACAAGGCCAGAAAGGAATGAGACCACGGAAGTCCCCAGCCTGCAAAATCACTGTTTTTGTCTGATGGAGAACAGAAAAGTTCTGAGCACTGGTAAAATTTCCAGGCGAATCTACAGAAGTTACACACCAAGGAAATGAGACTCCTTCTACTGCATACCATGAACCATGGCTCCTATGATTCAAGAGGAAAGTGAAGTAACAAGGACGGAAGAGTGGAGGGTGAGGCACTAAGGAACAGCGCAGAGGAGATAACTCTGAACAACATCAGCAGAAGAATCACCCTCTCGCCACCTCTCTCTTTTGCAGATGCTTCAGAGATCAGTGTTGGAAAAATACTTGTGCTCCTGCCCACCTCATCAGCACATGTCCTGCCAGCCTCTGGCACTGGGGCAAAGTGGAAATGAGGGGAAAAAGGGATGATGGCAGTGGCAGACCTGTGGTAGTATGAGAAGGAAAAGAAGAAAGAAGAAACTCAGGAAGGGGGAATATCTTCAGTGAAATGAGAGGAAAAAAGGAAAAAATCACACAGCCATTCAACTAGACCTATAGTCCAGGGACGGAATGCAGAAAACTTGTAAGCTAGGAACATCTGGGGCATCAGAGACCTCGAAGGGAATGCTTATCTCTGCCAGAGAGAACTATCAACTCACATAAGAACTTACTCTTCCTGGCCTCTCTCCAGCAGAAAACTACCTGTTACTGTTATTCCAACCTCACTAAATTCCCAGAAATAATCTTTTCAGGGCAGGAGAGAAGAGAATAAAAACAGAAGGCCTAGTTAAGAGTAGTTTAAAATTTAATTCAAGTACCCTTACATTTGTGGAGTTGAGAAGAGATTTTTATCTTACTAAAGAATTTCTCCAGGAAAAAAACTTCATTCCCTCAAATTATCCAATCCAACTCCCATTTCACAGCGCAAGTCAAAAGCACAAAAAGAACTCCTTACCTTCACCAGCACATAGTCCCCAGGCTGAGCTCGAACCCTGAGCCCAGAGTCGGTGACATCCTCCACCTCTACATCAGGAAATATCACCTTAAGGTTTCCATCATTCCGGCCACACAGGTCAGTAGCAGAGCGTTTACTGGGCTGCAAAAGAATAGATGAGAGGTTACAAATTTGTCAGTCATCAGTTCTTGGTCTGTCTCAGATCCCCAAGGGTCTGAGCCATAGACCACTTTTTAACCAAAGAATCACCTAAGACTAAGTGCTTCACTGCTGCTTTACACAAGGTCAGTAAATGGCACATGACAGAAACTCAATAAAGTTTTGCTGACAATATGTCAATGTAATAAATGTCTCAATCAATGAGTCTTTGATTACAGAATTACCTTTCACAGGACTGAACCTCCAACAGGCTTGATGCCAATGGCATATGGGTGATATATTTGGTAAAATGACTCTCACTTCACAGAGTCTCATAGCAATCACCCGGGAATGTTCTCGGGTTGTCTGGCCTAGGTTACGTGTCTCAGTGAATAGGAGACTGGAAGGCACAGCCTCCACTGTAACATGTAAACGACTGGGCCAGGAGAATAATAAAATCAGTATGCAGTACGCAGTTCTGGGTATTAATTCCCAGAACATACACAAGCCTTTCTCTTCCAGTCATGAGGAAGTGACAAAAACGAAATTCATCCTCAGGCCTTAAATAACCAGGAAATCAGACAAAATATATGAAAAACCTATTTTCTGATATCGGACAACAGACTGTGCAAAACTATGATCCCCAACAGAAGAAAACAAATGGAGAGAATCACCCCTGCATTCTACCAGAGGACACGTGCCAGAGCAGAGAACACAAAGCCGGGAGGGAGACCGCAAGGCAGAACATGGTGGTTCCCTCTGAACTGAGGAAAGATGTATCAAAGTCCAGGGAACCTGCAATAGCTAGAAACTGTAGAGCAAGTTCTAGAGAAGAGGGGGTGAAAATCCATGAAGTCACTCAAAGAACTGATCAGCTGAGAACTGTTTAGCTCCCAGATCTCACACTGGGCTGGGAATCATTTGATCTAGCAACAAATAGTCCTCATTCATTCCTTGGGACACGCAGCAGTGATTCTAGAAATCTACAGCCATACCTAGCACTAAGGCCAAATTTTTCCTAGAATAAAAAAAAATTTTCTAGCAAAGATTAAAAAGAAACCTAAAAGGATCAAACAAAACCACGAGTAATGAGACTGCTTATTAAAACAAAGCCCAACACAAATCCCAGACATTCAAAAATAATGTCCAACAATACAATGTCCAACACCCAATCAAAAATCACTAGATATGCCCAGAAGCAGAAAAATGACTCATAATCAAGAAAAAAATTAATGAAGCAGACCTAGAAATGATGGCAATGATGGGATTATCACAAAGATATTAAATCAGCTATTTTAATTAAGTTCAAATACTAAGTTTCAAAAGAAAACAAGACCACAGGAGAGAAATACTAGAAGATGTTTTAAAAAAAAACCAAATGTAACTTATACAGATGAAATATACAACATCTGAATGTTTTAATTCAATACATAATAGCAAATGAGACACTGTCAAAGAATAACAAAACTGAAGACAGAATAATAGAAACTGAATTATTCAAAGTGAAGCACAGATATTAAAAAAAAAAAGACAAAAAAAAATGGACATATGGATGATTAGAAGAGAGAACAAAGGGGAGGGGGTGGCAGAAAGCAGGAGGGATACAGAATAATATCTGAAGAGTAATAAATGAAAAATTTCCAAATCTGATGAAAAGTATAAATCCACAAATTATGTAGCCTCAATATATCCCAAACAAAACCATGCCAAACACATTAAATTTCTAAAAAGTGATAAAATGACAACACAACATGTGATACTGAACTGAATCCTTTTCTTATAAATGACAGTTCTTAGGTAAGTGGAGAAACTTGAGGGGGTCTAAGGACTGGATGGTAATAATCTAACAAGCTTAATTTCTGACTCTGATGGTTGTACTATAGTTATTTAGAAGAATGCTCCTGTTCGCACAAAATAAACACGTTAATGTTTGGGGAAGTGGAGCATCAGAGAAACTTATTCTCAAATGCTTCAAAGAAAAAAGTTCTTTGTACTATACTGCTACTTTTCTGCAAGGTTTGTGATGGCTTTACAATAAATTTTTTAAAAGAGACAGCATTCATGTTCCATGATTTGAACCAACCAACCACGAACATTTATAAGACAAACAGGGAAACTGGAACATTGACTAGATATATGAAAATAATAAGAAACTACTGCTAGGACTTCCCTGGTGGTCCAGTATCTAAGACTGCACTTCCAATGCAGGGGGTCCAGCTTCAATCCCTGGTCAGGGAACTAGATCCCACACACTGCAACTAAGAGTTCACATGTCACAACAAAGATCGAAGATTCCTTGTGCTACAACTAAAAATCCGCATGCCACAAAAAAAAGAACCTGCATGCCAGAACAAAGACTGAAGATCCCAACTGAGTCCCCACACAGCCAAATTAATTAAATAAAATTAAATTTCATTTAGTTATTATAAATAAAATAAAGACCAAAAAAAATTGTTTTGGTTCAAATAATTATCATGTGCTCTCTGTGGGGTCAATGAAGTCATGGATTAGTAACCTCTGAGTACTTATTCATTCAGTCAAAAGGCAAGTACCCTATTCTGTACCAGATCTTGTGTGAGGAGAGCTGGGGATACAGTAAGACCTAATTCCTACTGGACAAAATAAGGATTGCTAATAGACATGTTCATATATGGAGATCTTCAGAATCATAGCTGATACCCTAAATAGCAAATGACTTATCAAGGCAAACACTTTGGGGATATTTCACCAGCTCAGTATCATCAACCAACAGCAACTGCTGGACCAGACCATAAGAAGATCCCTAACCCAAGCTGAGTGGATCAGACTCCCTCGCCAAGAAATTTTAATTGGAGCTGAAAAACACAACGTTGGTCTGTGAATAGCTGGAACTATATACCACAAGACACAGGAACTACATGGCTGTTGTACTCTGCCACACAGATGAAGAATCAGGAAAAGCTGACCTGAGGAGGAGAGAAGTTAAGTTGAGCCTCAAGGGCTTCCCAGATTGGGTACAGTCCCCTCCAGACACCTGGCAGTATTCTTAACCTTGGGCTCCACAATATACTCCTGAAGTCTTACACAAAGCAGAATTACTTTTGGCTTGAACAAATTTCCCACAGTTACTCATTACTGAAGAGTCCTAACAAACACCAAGCAATTGGTGCTTCTGAAGCTGCCATATCCTAAGGCATAGAGCAGGACTCTCCTTTCTCAACTCAGGACTTGGGAAGAGTCACAGAAAGGGTGCTGCCTCTCTCCTTCCCCTTCTCTTCAAGAGCTGAAACATGAAGCTTCACAGAAGGTCAGGTTGCCTAACACCCCTTATCCTAACTGTTTAGTGCTCGAAATGATGACTAGGTTCCCAAGCTTGACCATGGAAGACTACAGAAGCCCAAACTTTCTGAAATGCAGTATATTTCTAAGACAGTGTGATTTTTTAACGGACTGAAAACAGACAATAAAATTGGTACTCAAAATACACACATGATACTGCTTCCAGAAAGATGCAGCAGAAAAACCTTTCCCTAATCCTTCCACTAAATACAAAAACATCCTTTGGGAATGAAGAAATCAACATTCTAAGATGAAGGAAAACAAAGAGAATCTACTACCAGAATGTCTGTTAAAGGAAGTTCTCTAAGCAAAAAGGAAACAATAAAAGAAGGAACCTGGAACAACAAGAAGAAACAAAAAACCAATAAATATAACTTCTAAGAAAATCCCAAGGAACCTACCCAAAAAACTCCTAGGACTACTGAGTCCAGCAAGATTAAGGGCTATAATATAAAAATCAATTATTTTTTTAAAAAATCAATTATTTCCACATACTAACAGTGAACACATGTACACCCAAAATGAAAAATACAATAGCAACTACAATAGCTAAAAAAAAAAGGTATAAATCTAACAAAACATGTACAAGACCTATATGCTGAAAACTTTAAAAACTGCTAAAATAAATCAAAGATTTAAATAAAGGGAGATATACTGAGCTCTAAAAAACAAAAAGACAAACAAACAAAAAATAGAGATATACACATAGCCTCACCCCCTCCACCAGCACCAGTTGGGTACAACCCACAAAGGATTTGTTGGCTTTTGTTGCTTCTTCTCGGAAGACAGTGATAAGTTCCTCCAAACGCCTTAATTTTACCTCTTCGGGAATATCATCCTTCAGCCTGTGATATGCTCGTGTCTTCTGTTTGAGAAAAGAGAGACGGAGGTCACCAAGGACTTGTAGAATCCATTTTTAAGGCAGACATGCTCATCCAATTTGCAATTTACAGACACATGTACAGGAACTCAAGCCACACCACAATGGTTCTCTAGTTCAGAGGCCTTCTAAGAGAAAAAGGTGCAACAGAGTCACATTTTTACAAGGGTTAAACTCTAAATTTAGCACATGAAAATCATAGACTCAAAATTATTCTTGATATTTTTATAGCACACATATATTAAATAATTCATATACCAGGTTTCTGAGCAGCATTATAAAGACACAAAATGCAAAGTAAACGTTTATCGACAAGTAACCTGTGAAATAAATTGTGGTTTATCTACACAATGGAATATTACACAGCTGTGAAAAAGAATGAGATAGCTCTGTATATACAGATGTGATTGCTCTCCAAAATATACTCTGAGCAGAAATAAGCAAAGTATAGATCATCATGTATAGTAAGTTTGATATAGAAAGGATACATATAAATATACTTATAAATACATGAAATATCTCTGGAAGGTTACAGAATAAGTTGCTAAGAGCAGTTGCCTTCAGGGAAGGAACTGAAAAACCAGGCAATCTAGGAAGAAAAAACAACTACTTTGCACTGCACACTATTTTGATCTTTTGAATTCTATACCATGCACATGTATTACCTAGTCGAAAAATAAAATAATATTTATCCTTGAAAAGCTTTTAAATCATCCCAAATCATAGTGTACATACATCTTTATATATAACTATATTCATACACACACGTTTATACATATCTTTATTAACACAAGCTCATAATACAGCTGGAGAACCACGGAACTAAACAAAAGAGGAAAGTCTATACACCAGAGTCTAGACATTCAAACCAATCTGCCTAACTCTAATCCTCTAAGAGAAGATTACCAAAGAGAACTACCAAATGGATTACTAAGAGAACTACCAAATCCAGAGGAAAATGAAGAATGGGTAGAGAATTCTAAAACAGAATTCTTTTACAGGGCTTACTCTAATTCTGTCTTATTATTACCAATAATAATTTACCTCTATTGTGCACTCAACTACTATATAGCACTATTTTAAGTGCTTTATACATATTTAATTTAGCCAATATATTACTTCAAAACAACTGATACGGTTGGTATTAATGTTATTCCCTTTCACAGATGAAGAAAAGACTTTTCCCAAGGTCACATAGCTATTAAATGGGAGAGGCACAATCTGACTGTTCTTACCCACTATGCTACCTGATGAAGTCTCTATAACTTTCACTCTAATCTAGGAATTATTAAATAGACTCCTAAATCAACATTCATAAGCAATGCCTGTAGGACATGCCTCCACCACACACTGAAACTCATTTCCGACTCTAAAGAGAAACTTCTCTTGCATATTTGTGACACCCACAGAAATGAAGCAAATTGGAAGCCAACAGCTCCTCCGATGCTTTATCCCTGAAACAATTCTGTAACAGACATCAATACACACACTGGCCCACTTACACTGTCTATAGAACACTTGGCAGTGGGCTTTAAGAGACATGAATTAGCTTGGTTGATGAGAGACAGCTAAGTGACATTCATGGCTCAATCATTCATCAGACAGCTCTTCCCTGACCATGGAAGCCCCTCAGTCTCCAGCCCAAACACAAAGCAAGTGACCCCTGAGGTGACTGGGAAGATGATAAGTGACCCAAGCAATTCATTACTGCTATCAAGAAAACAGCAGGCAACCAAGACCATTCCTCTCTGCAAGAAATATGCATTACTTGCCCTTTTCTTTCTCATCTCCTTCTGCTTTGTTTTCCTGGGAATTGTGCTATAGGAGAAACTATAAGGCAGAAATCATCAGTGGGTTCACTTGGCCTAGAAAAATGGAAATTAAAAATGACCGAGGATGAGACTTCCCTGGTGGTCCAGTGGTTAAGAATCCTCCCTGTAAGGCAGGGGACATGGGTTCAATCCCTGGTCAGAAAACTAAGATCCCACATGCCGCAGAGCAACTAAGCCTGAGTGCCACAACTACTGAGCATGTGAGCCACAACTAGAAGAGTTCATGTTCCACAACAAAGATCCCGTGGGCCACAACCAAGACCGAACGCAACCAAATATATAAATACTAATAAATATTTTTCTTAATGGTTGAGGATGGCTGGGAGGGCAACAAGGAGCTTCCGTAAAACAAATCATATCTGTAGGCCAAAAAAGAAGTTATGCATGTTAGTAAAGGATTTGCAGTTTCTTTTAAAGAGAACGGTGTCCCTCCTTGCACTTTCAAATTCTAAACAATAACTTTAAATAGTCTAATAAAGGGTGGACTCGATGATAAAGAATCTGCCTGCCAATACAAGAGACACAGGTTCAATCCCCGATCCAAAAGATCCCACATGACATGAGACAACTAAGCCCACGGGTCACAACTACTGAGCCTGTGCTCTGGAACCCGGGAGCTGCAACTACTGAAGCCCAATATAGAGTCCATGCTATACAGTGAGAAGCCTGTACACAGCAACTAGAGGGTAGACCCTGCTCACCACAACTACAGAAAAGGCCGTGCAGCAACAAAGACCCATCACAGCCAAAAATTAATTAACCGATTAATTTTTTTTAATATTCTAATAAAGAGGAATAGTAGCAGAAGCAGTTGTTTTCCATCTCAAGTTGCTGAACTGCATAAAAGAGTAAATAGGTTTATTAGAAAAAAATAATGAATGGTTAAGATCCCTGCGGTTTCTCAAGAAAAGCCTTGCTGTCTCTTTCTTTTCTTCCAGCAGTTCACAGTCAATCAGAAACTGGTCAGGAATGATGTCTCAGAATTAGAAAGAACTGTTCCCCCCAGTCCAGGACTCACCTGTCTCATGCTATAGGCAAAGAGGAAGCCTATGTTGTACTGAACTTCCCGAAGCAAAGACACTGTCTGAAGGTGATCTTCCTCTGTCTCACCACAAAAGCCAGCAATGAAATCACTGCTGAGGCTCACACCTGTGACATACGACAAATGACAGCATGTTACTGCCGCTTACCTTCAAGAGAGGCCGTTGGCACTTGGAGATTTCAGAGGGAGAGACAGTAACTGTACAGCCTTTTCAGGAGCTATTTAACCCATGTGCAAGTGAAACAGAACAATCAATCCAGAGCAAGGAGGGACATGAATGCTCACTGACAAGATTCCCAAGCCAAAGCCCGGCTGCTCAGTCCACATTCCCCTCAGCTTCATACTAGAAAAGGTATTTTTCACTTCAAACATTGGATTGAGGGACAGGGACACAGTAAGAGTTCATATTTTCAAATCTGTCCTGCTTTTACTTTTTTTTTTTACTCTTTTATTTTATATTGGGGTATAGCTGATTTACAATGTTGTCACTTTTAGGTGTACAGCAAGGTGATTCAGTTATACACATACATATATCTACTCTTGTTCAGATTGTTTTCCAATATAGGTTATTACACAATATTGAGATCACTGTGCTATAGAGTGGGTCCTTGTTGGTATCTGTTTTATATATAGTACACATGTTATAGTGTATATGTTAATCCCAAACTCCTAGTTTAACCCTCCCACCACTTTTTCTATTTGGTAAACATGTTTTCAAAGTCTGTTGAGTCTGTTTCTGTTTCATGAGTTCATCTGTGTCATCTTTTTAGATTCCACATATAAGTGATATCGTATATTTGTCTTGATCTCTCTGACTTACTTCCCTTTAGTATGGTAATCTCTCAGACTATCCATGTTGCTGCAAATGGCATTATTTCATCTTTTTATGGCTAAGTAATATTCTGCAGTGTGTGTGCATATATATATACACGTATATATATATATATATATATATATATACACATCACATCTTCAGCCAATCCTCTATTGAGGAATGAGACATTTAGGGTGCTTCCATGTCTTCACTATTGTAAACAGTGCTGCAATGAACACTGGGATGCACTTATCTTTTTGGATTATGTTTTTTTTTCCAGATATATGCCCACAAGTGGGATTGCTGGATCATATGACAGCTCTATATCTAGTTTTTTAAGGAACCTCCATACTGTTCTCCATAGCAGTTACACCAATTTCCATTCCCATCAACAGTTTAGGAGGGTTCCCTCTTCTCCACACTCTCTCCAAGATTTACTGTTTGAAAACTTTTTGATGATGGCCATTCTGACTGGTGTAAGGTGATACCTCACTGTAATTTCCCTCTGCATTTCTCTAATAATCAGCGATGTCTGAGCATCTTTTTCTGTGCTTTCTGGCCATTTGTACGTCTTCTTTGGAGAAATGTCTATTTATGTGTTCTATTTTCTGACTAGACTGTTTATTTTTTGATACTGAGCTGCACAAGCTGTTTGTTCATTTTGGAGATTAATCCCCTCTTGGCTGCTTCATTTGCAAATATTTTCTTCCATCCTGTGGGTTGCCTTTTTGCTTTATTTATGGTTTCCTTTGCTGTGCAAAGGTTTTTAAGTTTAACTATGTCTCATTTGTTTATTTTTATTTTATTTTCATTACTCTAGGAAGTAGATCCAAAAAGTAATGCTGTGGGTCTTCCCTGATAGTCCAGTGGTTAGAACCTGATGCTTTCACTGCCATAGCCCAGGTTCAACCCCTGACTGGGAAACTAAGATCCCTCAAGCCAAGCAGTATGCAAAAAAAAGAAAAAGATATTGTTGTGATTTATATCACAGAGTGTTCTGCCTATGTTTTCCTCTAAGACTTTTATAGTAACTGGTCTTACATTTAGATCTTTAATCCATTTTTAGTTTATTTTTGTGTATGGTGTTAGAGAATGTTCTTTTATATTTCTTTTATATTAGGTTGGTGCAAAAGTAACTGCAGTTTTTAAATTTGCCATTTGACATCCATTCTATATAAATGTAGATGTTATATATAATACTAATATGCATTTCTAGCTTTATTTTTTTGGGCTAATGACTTATTACTTGCTGTTTATTTTATATTTATTTTAGACTATGGGAATGATGTTAGACAAAAAAAAATTGGAGCAATTTTCTTATTTGAGTTCAAAATGGCTCATAAAGCAGAAGATAAAACTCACAACGTCAACAACGCATTTGGACCAGGAACTGGTAACAAATTTACAAAGGAGTGGTGGTTCACGAAGTTTTGTAGAGAAGAGCGCCTTGAAGTGAGGAGCATAGTGGCTGGCAAGCAGAAGTTGACAACGACAACTGAGAGTAATCATCGAAACTGATCCTCTTACAACTTCATGAGAAGTTGCCGAGGAACTCAACACTGACCAATCTACGGTTATTTGGCATTTGCAGCAAATTGGAAAGGTGAAAAAGTTCGATAGTGGGTGCTTCATGAGCGGACCTGAAATTAAAAAAACATTGTTCTGAAGTATTGTCTTCTCTTATTCTACACAACAATGACGAACCGTTTCTGGATCAGATTGTGATGTGTGACAAAAAGTGGATCGTATAAAACAAGAGATGACCAGCTCAGTGGCTGGATCAAAAGGAAGCTCCAAAGCACTTCCCAAAGCCAAACTTGCACCAAAAAAAAAAAAGGCATGGTCACTGTTTGGTGGTCTGCTGCCAGTATGATTCACTACAGCTTTTGAACCCCAGCAAAATCATTACATCTGAGAAGTATGCTCAGCAAATCAATGAGATGCACCAAAAACTGCAATGCCTATAGCCGGTACTGGTCAACAGAATGGGCCTGATTCTTCTCCACAAGAAAACCTAACTGCATATGAGACAACACTTCAAAAGTTGTGCTACAAAGTTTTGCCTAATCTGCCATATTCACGTGACCTCTCGCCAACCAACTACCACTTCTTCAAACATCTTGACAACTTTTTGCAGAGAAAATATTTCCAAAATCAACAGGAGGCAGAAAATGCTTTCCAAGTGTTTGTCTAATCCTAAAGCCTGGATTTTTATGCTATAGGAATAAAGAAACATCTTGTTGGCAAGAATGTGTTGACTGTAATGGTTCCTAATAAAGATGTGTCTGAGCCTAGTTATCATTTAAAGTTCACGTTTATACTAACCTAACATACAGTTGTCCGTCTAGTTAAGGCTATAGTTTTCCCAGTGGTCATGTATGGATGTGAGAGTTGGACTGGGAAGAAAGCTGAGCACTGAAGAATTGATGCTTTTGAACTGTGGGGTTGGAGAAGACTCTTCAGAGTCCCTTGGACTGCAGGGAGATCCAACCAGTCCATCCTAAGAGAGACCAGTCCTGGGTGTTCACTGGAAGGACTGATGCTGAAGCTGAAACTCCAATACTTTGGCCACCTCATACGAAGAGTTGACTCACTGGAAAAGTCCCTGATGCTGGGAGGAATTGGGGGCAGGAGGAAAAGGGGACGACAGAGGATGAGATGGCTAGATGGCATCACTGACTCGATGGACATGAGTTTGAGTAAACTCCAGGAGTCGGTGATGGACATGGAGGCCTGGCGTGCTGCAATTCATGGGGTTGCAAAGAGTCAGACACGACTGAGTGACTGACTAAACTGAACTGAACTGAACATACAGTTGTCCAGTGTTCCCAGAACCATTTATTGAAGAAGTTGTATTTTCTCCACTGTATATTCTTGCCTCCTTTGTCATACATTAACTGACAAAAGGTGTGTGGGTCTATTTTGGAGTTTTCTGTTCTGTTCCATTGATCTATTACTTGTTTTCATGCCAGTACCATACTGTTTTGATGACTGTAGCTTTGTAGTATGGTCTAAAGCCAGGGAGCCTGATTCCTCCAGCTCTGTTTTTCTTTCTCACGATTGCTTTGGCTATTCCAGATAAATTTTAAAACTATCTGTTCTATTTCTGTGAAAAATGTCATTGGTAATTTGATAGAGATTGCACTTTTGATAGGGATTACACTGAATCTGCAGATCACCTTGGGCAGTACAGTCATTTTGACAATACTATTCTTCCAATCTAAGAACATTGTATATCTTTCCAACTGTTAGTATCACTTCAATTTCTTTCATCAATGTTTTATAGTTTTCAGAGCACAGGTCTTTTGCCTCCTTACATAGGTTTATTCCTAGCTATTTTCCTCTTTTTGATACAGTTGTAAATGAAATTGTTTAATTTCTCTTTCTGATCTTTTTGTTCTTAATGGACAGAAATGCAAGAGATTTCTGTATATTAACTCTGTATCATGTAACTTCACGGAATTCACTGATGAGCTCTAGTAGTTTTCTGGTAGCATCTTTAGGATTTTTATATATAGTATCATATCATCTGCAAACAGTGACAGTTTTACTTCTTCTTTTCCAATTTGGATTTCTTTTTTTTCCATCTCTCATTGCCATGGCTAGGACTTTCAAAACTATGTCAAATAAAAGTGTTTTTTGTTCCTGATCTTAGAGGAAATGCTTTCAGATTTTCACTCTTGAGTATGATGTTAGCTCTGGGTGTGTCATATATGGCCTTTGTTAAGTTGAGGTAGGTTCTCTCTATGCTCACTTTCTGGAAAGTTTTTACCATAATAGTTGTTTCAGTTTTGTCAAAAGCTTTTTTTTCACATCTACTGACATAATGTGGTTTTTACTCTTCAATTGGTGTGGTGTTTCACAGTGATTTGCAGATATTGAAAAGTCCTTGCAACCCTGGGATAAATCCCATTTGATCATGGTATATGATCCTTTCAATGTATTACTGGATTCAGTTTGGTCTTATTTTACTGATGACTTCTGCATCTATGTCAGTGATATTGGCCTATAATTTTCTTTTCTTGGTGGTATCTTTTCTTCTCTGGTTTTGGTATCACGGTGATGGTGGCCTCATAGAATGAGTTTGGGCACATTCCTTCCTCTGCAATTTCTGCACTAGTTTCAGAAGGATAGGTGTTAATTCTTCTCTTAAATGTGTGATAAAATTCATCTGTGAAGCCATCTGGTCCTGGACTTTAGTTGGAAGTTTTTTAATTTCAGTTCAATTTCACTACTTATGACTGGTCTGTTCATATTTTATTTCTTTCTGGTTCAGTCTTGGAAGATTTTACCTTTCTAAGAATGTGTCCATTTCTTCTAGGCTGTCCATTCTATTGGTATACAGTTGCTTAAAGAAATCTCTTATGATTCTATCACTGTGGTGTCAGCTGTAACTTCTCCTTTTCATTTCTAATTTTTTGTAATGAGCTCTTTCCCTTTTTTTCCTTGATAAGTCTGGTTAAAAATCGCTTCTCGGCCTTTTGGCTAAGATCAAGTGAAGTCTGGTTAAAGGTTTATCAATTTTGTTTATCTTTTCAAAGAACCAGTTTTTAGTTTCATTGGTCCTTTCTATTGTTTTCTTTATCTCTATTTCATTTATTTCTGCTCTGACCTTTATGATTTCTTTCCTTCTAACTTTGGGTTTTGTTTGTTCTTCTTTCTCTAGCTGCTTCTGGTATACAGTTAGGTTATTTCATTGAGATTTTTCTTAAGATTGTATTGCTACAAACTTCCCTCTTAGAACTGCTTTTGCTGTATCCCACAGATTTTGGATCATGATATTTTTATTTTCATTTGTCTCTAGGAATTTTCTGATTTCCTCTTTGATTTCTTTGGTGACCCACTGGTTGTTCAGTAACATATTGTTAAGCCTCCACATGTTTGGGTTTTTTACTATTTTTTTCTTGTAGCTGATTTCTAATTTCATAGAGTTGTGGCTGAAAAAGATGCTTGATATGATTTCAATTTTCTTAAATTTACTGAGGTTTGCTTTGTGGCCCAGCATGTGATCTATCATGCAAAATGTTTGAGTACCTCATACAAACATACACCTTTTGAAATTAAACACAACATTCCAACACACTTTAATTATCCCAACAATCCAATAATGTGAGTACTATTAGTTCCACATTATAGAAGAGGAAACTGCAGCCCAAAGAACCTCCATACTATCCTGCCCCATCCAAATGGAAGTTTTGGTGCAGAACACATTACAGTAATTAGAAATTTGTAAAACAATGTAGACACTGTCAACAAATCTAAAAACTACAGAGTAAAGTGGATATCCAAGAAGGACCTACTGTATAGCACATAGAACTCTTTTCAATGTTACTGGCAGCCTGGATGGGATGGGTTCAAGGGAAAATGGAGATATATATACATACAGCTGAATCCTTCACTGTTCACCAGAAACTACCACAACACTGTTAACTGGCTATACCCCAATATAAAACAAAAGGTAAAAAAAAAAAAAAGATAACAACTGCTCCCAAGTCAGAACTAATTTAGACCATAACTTTGCTGCTAATGAGGAGAAACAAGGTCTCTCTCATGTTCAGAAACATAAAGAGTCTAGAAAAGGAATCTCTTTAGTTTGAAGCCACAAGCTAATCCACATCTCTGAGTATTTCTAGCAAGACCAAGATATTTGGTCAGAAAGAAGTAAGAGAAAGAGAGAAATGAAGAACAGTAAAAGAACTGTTGAAGGTGACACCACATACTACCACAAGTGTTGCCTGTATCTAACCAAAAAGACTGGGGATCACTGGTAAAGTAACATGCCCAGCAAAATATGTTTCTTAAATGTACCTGGAATACACTCTCTGATATGCTGAATTAATTTCACATAAGCTTCTCTTGAATACCTGCAATAAAAAAACAAAAAGAAAAAGCTCAAATTAACCAATCTTCTTTAAATGAATGCTATAAGAAGATAACTCTATGAATTACCTCACATAATCACTTTACATTCACACAGGACAGTACAAGAGTAAGTTAAATTATCCTTAAGAGCCCTTCAGATCCAAATCCTGTACTGTAACCTAATCCAGAGCCTATAAAATTTTAATTCAAGAACGTAATTTCAAATAGCCATTTTTATTTAACTAAGAAATGAAGACAAATTAATACTTAACATTTCTAAGATTCTTTGCCAATGTGTAATGTAAGGTAAATCCCTAGTTCTATACAATGTGTCATCTGACACTTTCTCCTTTCAGTCTTCTCCTTGCTATACTATTTCCAAAGTAAGGAAACACAGAAAAGCTATAAATAGGTTAAAAATCTCAGTGTGCCACACAATAGGTGCTTAATAAGACACAAGCTAAACAAATGAGTGAGCCAATCCTCAGTCTATACTTATAGAATGAACAAAGCAAGTTACAAAGTCCATCAGTTTACTCATGTAATAAATCTCTATTGACCAGCTACCATGTGCCACACACTATCCTAGGTTCTTAGACACTGCTTGGTCCTTAAACATGGATTGGTATGGAACACCCGTCCCCAAGCAAGTCTGACCCCCTCCGCATGGCCTCCAATACACGGCTGCTTCCACTCTGGGCTGGTAGGTGGATCTGTTTACAGATGTTGTCCCTCTCATGGATCAGTTGCAGAACCTGGTCAAATAGAACACATGAAAGGCCATCAAAGTCTCACAAAAGAATCTTGCAGAAAGGAATACCACTCCCACTGTTTCTCCACCAAGATTAATTTTTAAGAACTAAGAGGCTGACAAAACCAAACATATAAACCACCCAAATTCTTTACTTTTGCTCAAGCCACGTTCTGTCTGTCCCAGACATTTCACCTGATGGTATCTCTCTACTTTTGAAGAGTGAAGAAACCAAGCAGAGGTCAGATTCAGGTCATGAGGCTATACAGGGACAGTGCCAACACAGACCAGAAAGGAAAAACAGCATTTGTCTCACCTAGCTTATAAACTAATTAGCCACTTTAAAAGATACCATCAGGAAACTAAAACTAGGAGAAAATACTTGAAAAAATTTACTGAGAAATGATTTGTACCAAGAGTCCATAAACAAGGTTCACAACTCAGTAAGACAAATATTTCAGAGGGGAAAAAGTAGGGGTGGGGCCAAAAGACAGACATTTCACCAAAACAAAAAACCTTCCCAACAACCCAAAGCAGTGATTATTAACCATTTTACAAATGAAGATGACAAGTTGAAAAGGTCACCTCTACTGGTAAAGAGTTAGTGACAGACAGGTAAGCCTGGCGTGCTGCTGTCCATGGGGCTGCAAAAAGTCGGACAAGTCTGAGCAACTGAACTGAACTGGTAAAGCAGCGGAAGAGCCAGGGCTGAACTCAGCTCTCTCTGAGGCCAAAGTCTAAACTGTTTTCTGCTGCATCACATTGCCTCCCTACCTGTTCTTCCCACACCATCTTGCAACAAAACCTCTCTCTGCACAGCCCTCATGGTCCACTGATGGTCTCAGTATCAATCCTATACCTTAGTGGACTAAGGTATAGTCCTCCACCTTAGTGGACTTCAAATCTTTCCATAAGCGGGTAGTTTCAGAGGGCAATACAGTAACACACCTCAGGATCCCCTGACCTCTGAGGACAGATGCCTCTGCCACACCCTACTGGCTCCAGCCTTTGGCATGCTTAGGGATACTGATGTGAATCTGGCACAGTAAACTCTCAATACTCACCTCATCAGGAAAGTCCTTAGGGTGCGGAGAGGTGAAACGAATCCTCATTTCAGGATCTATTCTGGACACCTGATCCAGAAGGTGAGCAAAACGAAGGCCTCCTTGCTTGGCTTTATAGTTGGTGGAAAAGCCACGACTGAGGTTGGTGGACACTGCACTGTTGAACTGGACCTCTGAATTGTCCCGAAAACTATTAACATTCTGACCAAGGAGTGTCACTTCTTTCAGCCCCTGAAAAAGGAAAAATAAACATATTGGAAGCAATTTTAAAACTTGTTTGGCAGCGTTATGCCAAATCTCGAACTAAAATTAGCTAAACCTGCCAAGAGTCATCCATAAATATACTCCCTCTTTAACTCAATAATTTCATCTTGGGCATCATGTCCAAAGAACTGAACTTCAGGATAAAACCATATGTAAGAATCTTTAAAACATTTTTAAAAATAGCAAAAAAGCTGGATACAAACCCAATATTCAAAAATAACAGCTAATTTATAAAACCAAAAATCAAATTATGGTACCATTCTGTCCTTTGAAGGTTATATAATCATTATCTATGCAGTATTCTTGCCAAAAATATTTAGTCTAAATCCAATCAAGCTTTTACACCTAACTTTCAGTTTACCACAATTCAGGGGACTATTTTAAATAACAACATGAGGAAGCAATCAAACAAATGGAGATATGTCTAACGCATCATTTAAGAAAAAACAAAAAAGTGAAAGGACTGTTTTAGGTTTGAGAGAGACTGAAGAAGTATTACATACAATCAAATGAAACTATACAAATCTTAATGGGATCTTGGCTTAAAAACAGAACAGTAATAAGACATTTTTGGATAATTAAGATATTCTGAACATGGGCTACATGTTAGAAAATATTAGTTAATTGTTTCCTACTTATGATAACAGTATTATGGTTATGAAGGGAAAAATTCTTCTTTCTGAGAAGATGCATACTGACAGATACAGGGCAAAATGGCCTGATGACTACCACTTACTCTCAAATGGTTCGGAAAAAAATATATTTATATATATACAGAGATAGGCAGATAAAAAACATATGACAAAATGTCAATAATCATGTTTATTAATCTTTCAACTTGTGTTTGAAAATCTGCACTGTTGGGACTTCCCTGGTGGTCCAGTGACTGGGACTCTGAGCTCCCAGTGCAGGGGGCCCAGGTTGGATCCCTGGTCAGGGAGCTAGATCCCACATACTACAACTAAGACCCAGGGCAGCCAAATAAATAAATAAAATTAAAAAAAAAAAAAAAGAAAGAAAATCTGCACTGTAAAATTTCAGAAAGTAAAAGAAAAATGGTTGCTATAAAGACTATTTCTTATTATTTTGACATAATTTCAAACTTACAGAAAAACTGAGAGGGTATAAAAAACTCCCATAAACTATTTGCCCAGATTCAGTAATTGTTAACATTGTGCCTCATTTCATCATTCATTCACACGTTTGTTCTCTCTACACACACATCAAGCCAGAGAATGGTGGAGCCCGAATTCACAATCACCTCATTCATGCTCTTTCCATTCTACTGTGCTCCCTCCTAGGTAAACCTCTCTATGGATCTGCCTATACTGTGTGGGCAGCAACCCAAGACATGTACACCCAGAAATTTCTTTCTGGTCAGGTATGGTTCTAAACATGTACAGCTGAGAGACGGCACAGGCTGTAAAACTACAGAAAAGTTGTCCTCATCCTCCAACAAACACACTCACAGTCAGAAGGGCTGCGAGAACTTCTCACCTGCTCAGAAAGCTTCCTCACTTCCTCCAGAATGGAGGCAATAGGCCGACTCCTCTCCCGGCCACGTGTGAAAGGAACAATGCAGTAGCTGCACATGTTGTCACAGCCTCGCATGATAGACCTGGGGAGGAAAGCACCAGGACTCAGTAAAGGAGCAGGACGATCTGGTCCAACCCAAGGAGAAGGTCACAGCTCCTTTGGCATTTATCCCTTAGCTCTGAATTCTCTTGGCAATATACTCACAAAGGACCAATCTGAGATCTAAGAAGCAATAAAGCAGACATTTTTATCTTTAAAAACTATTAGCTGGGAGTTCCCTGGTAGCCTAGTGGTTAGGATTACAGGCTTTCACTGCCATGGCCTGGGTTCAATTCCTGCTCAGGAAACTGAGATCCCACAAGTCACGTGACATGGCCAAAAAAAAAATTATTATCTGATAATCACAAGATGTAAACCAAACTGTAACTGGTGGTTACCCCAAGGAACTACAATAGTGAAGGAATGGGGTACAGATCTTGCACATCTGGACTTTCTACTGTTCATATTTACATATTTTTGAATTCTTTAAATCCAGACCAGAAAAAAAATAAATATCATCAAAGAATACATAACAAGTAGAGACACTGGATTTAAAATGTAAGGTTCTGCATCTCTCACTCATTCCTGATCCAAATTTTAAGTATCTAAGCTACATCACTCTCTTTCATTTGCATCCTATATATGAAAGCCTCAATTTATCTTAGGGAAACAATTATGAATAGATATGTATTAAAGATGTTCACTGAATAACTCAAATAAATATTAGCTATTAATTTTTTTATTAAGCATTCCAACAACAAAGTATTGGATAGCCATTAAACTGAGAGGTTGACAAACTTTTTCTGTAAAAAATCCAGATAGTAAATATTTTAGGTTTTATAAACCATACTAATACTGTAGTGGCAAAAGCAGTCACAGACAATATGTAAACAAAGCAGCATGACTATGTTACAATAAAACTTTATTTACAAGAACAGGTTACAGGCCTATTTACCAATCTGTCACAGAAAATGTCATGATACAACAAATGTTCATCATTTTAAATAAGGGTATAAAACCAAGTATATCAAGAGCCAATTTTTATGAATAAATACAAACAAAGCATACCCATGCAAACACAGAGGAAAGAATAGCATGATATACACCAAAATGATAACAGTGTTTATCAATAAGTGGTAAAACGTGTAAGTAATTCTTACTCACTTCTCTATGGAATATCTTTCCACATATTCTTCAACAAATATGAACTATTTTGTCATCAGATCTTTTTAAGTTAAAAGGTCAAAGGAGAGAAAAAAAGATGATAAGCCTAAGACATTTTCTTACGTGAAAAAAGTAAGAGAAGGGAGGGTAGAAAAGAGTCCATATTATATATATGAATGTATGTGCAAAGAATACTTCTGAAAGGATTATATAAGGAACTACAAATATGGCTGCCTCAGAGTTAGTCTAGGAGACTGAGGATGAGAGTTCTGAGGGAATCTTACTATACCTTTTTTTGTCTTCAGGTTTTTTTACTATGTGCATTTTTTTAATGTAATAAAAGCAAGATGTTACTTTAAAAGTAAGGAAAGAGGGTGGGGGGCGGAGGGAAAAAAAGAAGTAAGGAAAGAGAAGCTGACTCCCCATCTCTTGGTGAGTGACTCACACGAAGGCAGAGGTAGCACTGGGGCTCGTCTGGACTGGCATGACGTCAGCATAGGTCTCATCCAGAGATAGCAGGACATTGGCAGCTTGCTGGCCTGACTCAGCAACAGCCAGCAATCGAGGAAGGTCCCTATAGGCATCTGGGCCAGCCAAAATATCCACCATTTTCTCCCTGTTGAGGATCTCCTCCTTCAGTCTCTCAGCCATGCAGCCTGGGAGGGAAAAGAAATAAGCTGAGACCCGTTCCCAAATTCATCTGGTCTCACGACTTCTTTACAGTACACATTCTCTCCAGGTGGATCAAAGACGAAAGCACAGAAACTTCTCTAAGAATTTAGCATCATCCCTTAAATAGGCCCAACACTCTATACCTCTGGAACTTGCATATTTCTATATAAGAAAATCAGGAAAAGGGCTCTACAGGAATTCAATTACTTGCCTGACAAAAATTAAACCACCATCCAAAAACATTTCTAGACATGAACCATCTCTTTTTTCAATTTAAAATTACTTGGTACTACACATAAAAACTATTTTGTGTCAAAAACTTATTTTTTAATAAAATTTATCTATATACAACTGCCCTTACACTCTTTTTCTTTCTTGTTGCCCAAATGCATGTGTGTGCTCAGTCGTGTTCAACTCTGTGACCCCATGGACTGTAGCCCACCAAGCTCCTCTGTCCATGGGATTCTCCAGGCAAGAATACTAGAGTGGGTTGTGATGCCCTCCTCCAGGGAATCTTCCCAACCCAGGGATCGAACCCACACCCCTTGCATCTCCTACATTGGTAGATGAGTGCTTTACCCACTTGGGAAGCCCTCCTATCACCCATAATATGTATCAAAACCTGTAAAAAACGAGTTATCCATCTATGCTGGTGTCTTCCATAACCAAGAACCATCCCATAACCAAGAACCATAAACCATTGCTGTTAGTAAAACTATAGAATTTGAAAGTCCCTTTTCTTAAAAACACCCTTTAAAAACATTTAAGAACAATTCTTGATTGTACAATCTTTTTTTTTTTGATTGTACAATCCATGTTTATAGCAGCATCATTCACAATAGCCAAAGAGTGAAAGCAACCCATGTCCATAAACAGATGTCATACGTACATACAATGGAATATTCAGCCTTAAAAAGGAAGGAAATTTTGATACACACTACCACGTGGATGAACCTTGAGGACATTGTGCTAAGCCAGTTACAAAAATACTGTATGATTCCGTTTATATGAAGTACCCAGAGCAGTAAAATTCATCAAGGCAGAGAGCAGAATGGCAGTTGCCAGCGACTGAACTGAGGGAGGAATGGGGCAGTCATTACCTAACTGGTATGGAGTTTCAGTTTGGGAAGAAGAAAAAGTTCTGGAAATGGATGGTGGCAATGTTTGTGCAACCACCTGAATATACTGTATACCACTGAACTAACTGTGCCTCTGGAAGAGGTTCAAAAGGTAAACTTTATGTTACATATACTTTACTGCAATTTAAAAAACAAAACTATTTTGGAGATTTCTAACACTCCAAACACACACACACACACACACACACACACACTCCTTCTATAATGAAGGAATTGAAATGGAACAAAACATCCTAGCTAATCCACATTAATCTGTGTAAAAGAATACGCTCCAACCTTTGTTTCAATCCATCATCAAGATGACCAACTATTCCACGATGGACACAATCTATTTTTAAGGTTAAATACATTGACTAAATTCTGGGACCATGAAGGTACAGGATATGTATTTTTGAAATATGCCTCCCAGCTCTCTAGATCAGAGCTGCCCAATAGAACTTTCTAAGATGAAGGAAATGTGCTTTCTCTATGCTGTTCAAACTGGCAGCTACTAGTCAAGTGTGGCGAATAAGCAGTCAATATGTGGCTAACGGAACTGAAGAAGTGCATTTTTATTATTATTTAAGTGTAATTAAATTTAAATGACTATATATGCACCCAACATAGGAGCACCACAATATGTAAGGCAAACGCTAACGAGTATGAAAGAGGAAATTAATAGTAACACAATAATAGTAGGAGACTTTAATACCCCACTCACAACTATGGATAGATCAACTAAACAGAAAATGAACAAGGAAGCACAAACTTTAAAGGACACAATGGACCAGCTAGACCTAATTGACATCTATAGGACGTTTCACCCCAAAACAATCAACTTCACCTTTTTCTCAAGTGCACACGGAACCTTCTCCAGAACAGATCACATCCTGGGCCATAAATCTAGTCTTGGTAAATTCAAAAAGATTGAAATCATTCCAGTCATCTTTTCTGACCACAGTGCAGTAAGATTAGATCTTAATTACAGGAAAAAAATTATTAAAAATTCAAACATATGGAGGCTAAACAACACGCTTCTGAATAACCAACAAATCATAGAAGAAATCAAAAAAGAAATCAAAATATGCATAGAAATGAATGAAAATGAAAACACAACAACCCAAAACCTATGGGACACTGTAAAGGCAGTGCTAAGGGGAAGATTCATAGCATTACAGGCCTACCTCAAGAAACAAGAAAAAAGTCAAATAAATAACCTAACTCTACACCTAAAGCAACTAGAGGAGGAAGAAATGAAGAACCCCAGGGTTAGTAGAAGGAAAGAAATCTTAAAAATCAGGGCAGAAATAAATGCAAAAGAAACTAAAGAGACCATAGCAAAAATTAACAAAGCTAAAAGCTGGTTTTTTGAAAAAATAAACAAAATTGACAAACCATTAGCAAGACTCATTAAGAAACAAAGGGAGAAGAACCAAATTAACAAAATTAGAAACGAAAATGGAGAGATCACAACAGACAACACTGAAATACAAAGGATCATAAGAGACTACTACCAGCAGCTCTATACCAATAAAATGGACAACTTGGAAGAAATGGACAAGTTCTTAGAGAAGTATAACTTTCCAAAACTGAACCAGGAAGAAATAGAAGATCTTAACAAACCCATCACAAGCAAGGAAATCGAAACTGTAATCAGAAATCTTCCAGCAAACAAAAGCCCAGGACCAGATGGCTTCACAGCTGAATTCTACCAAAAATTTAGAGAAGAGCTAACACCTATCTTACTCAAACTCTTCCAGAAAATTGCAGAAGAAGGTAAACTTCCAAACTCATTCTATGAGGCCACCATCACCCTAATTCCAAAACCAGACAAAGATGCCACAAAAAAAAAAAACTACAGGCCAATATCACTGATGAACATAGATGCAAAAATCCTTAACAAAATTCTAGCAAACAGAATCCAACAACATATTAAAAAAATCATACACCATGACCAAGTGGGCTTTATCCCAAGAATGCAAGCATTCTTTAATATCCGCAAATCAATCAATGTAATACACCACATTAACAAATTGAAAGATAAAAACCATATGATTATCTCAATAGATGCAGAAAAAGCCTTTGATAAAATTCAACATCCATTTATGATTAAAACTCTCCAGAAAGCAGGAATAGAAGGAACATACCTCAACATAATAAAAGCTATATATGACAAACCCACAGCAAGCATCACCCTCAATGGTGAAAAACTGAAAGCATTTCCCCTGAAATCAGGAACAAGACAAGGGTGCCCACTCTCACCACTACTATTCAACATAGTTTTGGAAGCTTTGGCCACAGCAATCAGAGCAGAAAAAGAAGTAAAAGGAATCCAGATAGGAAAAGAAGAAGTGAAACTCTCGCTGTTTGCAGATGACATGATCCTCTACATAGAAAATCCTAAAGACTCTACCAGAAAATTACTAGAGATAATCAACGAATACAGTAAAGTTGCAGGATATAAAATTAACACACAGAAATCTCTTGCATTCCTATACACTAACAATGAGAAAACAGAAAGAGAAATTAAGGAAACAATACCATTCACCATTGCAACAAAAAGAATAAAATACTTAGGAGTATATCTACCTAAAGAAACAGAAGACCTATACATAGAAAACTATAAAACACTGATGAAAGAAATCAAAGAGGACACAAACAGATGGAGAAATATACCGTGTTCATGGATTGGAAGAATCAATATTGTCAAAATGGCTATACTACCCAAAGCAATCTACAGATTCAATGCAATCCCTATCAAACTACCAACGGTATTTTTCACAGAACTAGAACGAATAATTTCACAATTTGTATGGAAATACAAAAAACCTCGAATAGCCAAAGTAATCCTGAGAAAGAAGAATGGAACTGGAGGAATCAATCTGCCTGACTTCAGACTATACTACAAAGCCACAGTTATCAAGACAGTATGGTACTGGCACAAAGACAGAAATATAGATCAATGGAACAGGATAGAAAGCCCAGAGATAAATCCACGAACCTATGGTCACCTTATCTTTGACAAAGGAGGCAAGGATATACAATGGAAAAAAGACAACCTCTTTAACAAGTGGTGCTGGGAAAACTGGTCAACCACCTGTAAAAGAATGAAACTAGAACACTTTCTAACACCATACACAAAAATAAACTCAAGATGGATTAAAGATCTAAATGTAAGACCAGAAACTATAAAACTCCTAGAGGAGAATATAGGCAAAACACTCTCCGACATAAATCACAGCAGGATCCTCTATGACCCACATCCCAGAATTTTAGAAATAAAAGCAAAAATAAACAAATGGGACCTAATGAAACTTAAAAGCTTTTGCACAACAAAGGAAACTATAAGCAAGGTGAAAAGACAGCCCTCAGATTGGGAGAAAATAATAGCAAATGAAGAAACAGACAAAGGATTAATCTCAAAAATATACAAGCAACTCCTCCAGCTCAACTCCAGAAAAATAAATGACCCAATCAAAAAATGGGCCAAAGAACTGAACAGACATTTCTCCAAGGAAGACATACAGATGGCTAACAAACACATGAAAAGATGCTCAACATCACTCATTATCAGAGAAATGCAAATCAAAACCACAATGAGGTACCATTACACACCAGTCAGGATGGCTGCTATCCAAAAGTCTACAAGCAATAAATGCTGGAGAGGGTGTGGAGAAAAGGGAACCCTCTTACACTGTTGGTGGGAATGCAAATTAGTACAGCCACTATGGAAAACAGTGTGGAGATTTCTTAAAAAGCTGGAAATAGAACTGCCATATGACCCAGCAATCCCACTTCTGGGCATACACACCGAGGAAACCAGATCTGAAAGAGACACGTGTACCCCAATGTTCATCGCAGCACTGTTTATAATAGCCAGGACATGGAAGCAACCTAGATGCCCATCAGCAGACGAATGGATGAGGAAGCTGTGGTACATATACACCATGGAATATTACTCAGCCATTAAAAAGAATTCATTTGAATCAGTTCTAATGAGATGGATGAAACTGGAGCCCATTATACAGAGCGAAGTAAGCCAGAAAGATAAAGACCATTACAGTATACTAACACATATATATGGAATTTAGAAAGATGGTAACGATAACCCTATGTGCAAAACAGAAAAAGAGACTCCTATGTATAGAACAGACTTGTGGACTCTGGGAGAAGGCGAGGGTGGGATGTTTCAAGAGAACAGCATTGAAACACGTATATTATCTAGGGTGAAACAGATCACCAGCCCAGGTTGGGTGCATGAGACAAGTGCTCGGGCCTGGTGCACTGGGAAGACACAGAGGGATTGGGTGGAGAGGGAGGTGGGAGGGGGGACCGGGATGGGGAATACATGTAAAAAAAAAAAAAGATACACTATGGTTGTGATAAAAAAAAATAAATAAATAAATAAATAAATTTTTTAAAAAAATAAATTTAAATGACCACATGTGACTAGTGGCTATCATACTGGTCAGTGGATAGCTGGATCTTCACTTGGGCATGTTTTAGGAATCAAGATGAAAGATACCTACCTAATAAATTCAAACTGTCCCTTCAGACTCCAAACTCTCTCCTATCCATTACTCTGTGCTACCACAAGCCACATTAGACTAGGAAGGACAAATCACTTTCTGAGTACCTGTTACTTTCAAGGCACTAAGAAAAGTCCTTTTATGAGCTTCATCTCTTAATTCTACAGCTTCTGACATTAAGTACAAGGGCTGAATGGGATGTAAAAGACTGAGAATCCAGCATCTAAGGGAAACCCTAGCATATAAAGCTACATGGTGCCCAAGTCTCAAAAAATTTACAAAACCTGCAAATTACCAGATACCTAGAATCCCAATCCTCAGAGGTACTCGGGAGCGGAGCCGTTTGGACTTCAGGGATTTGAGCTGATGTAAACGATTCCAGATGGTCTGTTCAGCCTTCTCCCTACAGAGATCAAAAAAGGTAGACCTGAACCTGAAAATAAACTACAGAGCAACCTGAAAGAGCACAACAATGGGAAAAATGGGAATTCCCTGGTGGTCCAGGGGTTAAGACTCCAAGTTTTCACTGCCAAGGGCACAGGTTTGATCCCTGGTCAGAAACTAACATTTCACAAACAGTGCAGCCAAAACCATTCCTAAAACGAGACCTCCCTACACATCTACAAATCCTGACGAGCCTTTAAGCCAAACTCAAAAACAACCTGTTTCACAAAGACTTTCCAAACTCTCCTCAGTTAGAGAGTTTGTTCTCCTATCACTTTAACTATTCTTTTCCCTGTACTCAGCAATTTCTCCTTTTTACTGTTTGATTTTTTTACCTAGTGCTTTCTGCCAGATGTTAGAGCTATTTGTGTACCTGTCTTAGTTCCCACATCAGACTAAGCTCCGTAAAGTCGGACTCCATGGAGGAAAGGTTCATTTCTGAATCTCCCAAAGCACCTAATTCAATGTCCTGCAACAAAGACCCTCAGAACTAAAATGCTGGATTGACTGATAATACAGTCAGCTGAGGAAACAACACTAACATGCCATGTACACAGAAACAAAGTAATAAACAGAGTATGTTCACTTGTGATGGATGCCACCCATCTCTGTCAGAAGAACTCTGTCCCTAGCCACTAACTGGACCTACCCCTTATGACATGAGGTACAGCATAAACATGTGCAAGAAAAACCCCAGGAAATGTTGGGCAATTCAGCACACTCTCGGTTTCCTCATCGATAAAATGAGTTTGATAATAGCACCTACCTCATAGGGTTGTTATGAGAATCAGTCAGTGCACATCTAGTGCTCAGCACAGGACCTGACACAAGGTATACGCTCCACAAATGCTGACCATTCTACCAGCACTATATTCACTTGGAAAACTGCAAACCTGCTGACTCATCACCATGGGTTGGGTCACCCTGGCACTGCTGGCTCTGGCATTTTACAGAAGATTTATTCACTCTCTAGGTAAAGAATAAATTCCCACCTGATAGAACATGTGACAAGGAGAATCACATCAGCCTGGGTAGAAAGCAAGGAAAAAGAGGAAAATTATGATCTTTGAAATCAGCCTTGTAGAATCATTACCCACAGTCCTTTCCGGCCCCCACCCCCGCCGCCAGATTGTGGTGAAACACATAACATAAAATTTACCATTTTAACCATTTTTAAGTATATAGTTCAGTAGCATTACGGACACTCACACTGTTGTTCAACCATTACCACCATCAACCTCCGGAACTATTTCACCTTCCCCAACTAAAACCAGTAGGCATTAAACACTAACTCCCCATTTGCCTTCTCCTCGCAGCCCATTTTCAACCTAGTTCTTTGCCTGAAGGTGAGCACCACCATAAAAGTTTCAAAAATAACTGCAACAAAAGTACACCTCGGTCCCATACTCCTCACTTCCCTCAAGGGAACTCACTCTCACAAGGCCACAGCCTGTTCCTGAAACTCCACCTAAGAACTAGCACAAATGCAGAATCTCACCCAGGCCCAGGAAACGGGGAAAGAGGGAAATGTGTATACCTCCTGAAGGCTATTGGTCCGCAGGTAGCCACTCTTCTCTAAGATGGACCAGGCTATCTCTGTGTCATTCACGTTCATCTGGCAGCCATAAGTCTCAAGGTAGACTGCAACAAGAGGGCAATTCCACAGGTAAGAAGACAAAAAGGGATCACATGTCTCAAAAGGTTGCCTCCCCAAATGTCCCAGAAACACCTGAGGCACCTGGTTAGTCGCTTAAGTCCCCTGATGCCTCAATTCAGAGACACTATTAATTGCCAGATGTACCCCCAAATTATTAATAATGAAGCCTTTTGGAACAAAAGAAATATTCATTATATACACACACCAACTATAAGTCAGACCATTTAAAAGTGGGGAAAACGTACTCCTAGGACTCAAGAAATATAGTTACACAGAATGAGATTCTCCAGCCTCTAGAGATAACAGCGGTGGCTAGAGGGTCAATAAAGCCACAAAATAAAAATGAGGCAACGTCCTACAGTAACTCCAAACATCTTAAATGAAAGTAAGCATGGCTAACATGACATAAAACACATCTGCACAAAGTTTTAAGAACATCAATTTCACACCTGAGCAAACCCCTTCAAACTAAATCCCTCTATCAACCCCTATCCCACCAACACACTTTAATCCACAAGCCCAAATAAATCCTAAATGGAGTTAAGAGCTGAAGGACAATCACATGAAAACCAATAGAAAATAGCAGTAATTTAAAAAAAAAATAATCAAGAATTTTTCTAAACATTCCTTGGCTCCCTTTCTTTGTCTAAAAAGGGAAAATACCAAACTTATGTCAGGGAGAGACAGAAGGGAATAACAAATTTTAAAGGACTACAAAAATCTGAGAAGTCATGAGGTACACAGGCTCCTCGATTTACCAATTCAACGCCTAGACATTTACTCTAGATAAAAGATTTTGAAGAAGCAAAACTATCTCTATACGTGTGAATATGTGTATCTGTGTGTGTGTACATACTAACGCACTTTTAATAGTGTTATGTAGAATATAAAAATTTGTGAAACAACCTAATGTCCCAACAATTGGAAAACATCATGGTACAGCATGTGATATTTCGCAACAATTTTTTAATTTAATTATGAAGACTGGTATTTGGAAGAATATTAAATGAAAATAGCACATTACAAATAATCTAAACCATATGAATGTGACCAAATCATTAAGAGTTATAAATGGAAGCTTTTTTTTGAAACAGTGCAAAAGTCTGTTAGTCTCTTAATGTCTTTTCAAATTTTAACACATTTTAACTGAGTGCATTATGTTTCTAAGAAAACCTCTGTCGAGAAGGAAATGGCAACCCACTCCAGTATTCTTGCCTGGAAAAGTTCATGGACAGAGGAGCCTGGCAGGCTGCAGTCCATGGGGTTACATGACTGAGCATGTGTGCACGAGGGTGGAGGGAGATGGGTTGGTAGCAATAAAGTGGTAAAACTGAAAAAAAAAAGAAAAAAAAGAAAACCTCTGCCTAAGCATAATGATTTTCTATAGCACCAATTGTGAAATCTGCCTTGTAACTTAGGATGATCTAAAACTCAGAACAGAGACTGCAGGGTTTCCGAAGGTAACAGAAGAGAAGACTCCCCAGGACTTCCACCCCCAAGTTGCACGTATCAGAACTGTTAAGTTTCTTTATATTATTGCTACTTGGTAGAGGCTGATGATTCCATGATTCCAGCAGCCTTTCTACCCTGTTAACCCTCTACTGAGGGTTAACCTTCAACTGAGTTAACCTACTGAGTTAACCCTGTTAACTCCAAAGCCAGGTATATAAAAGATCTCTTAAGAATCAGGCCATGAGCACTGAAAGGAAGTAAAGCAGGAAGTCCAAAGAGAAGTAAAGTTAAACCAACCTCTTCTCTGCCTTCCTAAAAGTTCATCCGCCGTGAGATACGGGGGTGGGTCCTCCATTTCTGAAGAAGACGGTTTCTCTGGAGGAACTAAAGCACTTCTTAAAAAATCCTGAAAAGTCGGTCCAGTGGCCAGCCTGGAGCTGAAATCCTTCCCAACTCCATCCTCCTGCGGCCTCTCTGGACTGGGACATGCAGAGCTGGGGATACTGCTGTGTGCCCTGCAGGTCCTGAGCAGCAGCCAGGACACAGAGGCCAAGGGCCCCCGCTGCAGACACCTCTGGGCTCGGAGAACACACTGTAAAGGATGCATGGCACTAAAGGAGCCCACAGTCTGCAAGAGAATGACAGACAGCACCAAAATTTACTGAGCACTATACACAGGGCACCACCCTAAGCATCTGAGATATATTAATACATTTAATCTTCATAAAAACCCAAGAACGTACTCTTAATAATACTGTCCCCTTAATAACATTTTAAAGATGGAAAAACTGAAGCAACTTGCCAAATATCACAAAAAGTGCTAGAGATGAGATGCAAATCCAGGCAGTCTATTTTCAAAACAGAGGAGTGACAGAGATGAAATGAGAAGTCCTGACAAAGTAACAAAGTAGCACCTTGCACCAGGAACAGTTCCAAGGGCTTTAAGTGTATTATTTAAATCTTTACAGCAATCTTGAGTAACATAGGCAACAGACACTATTATTATCCCCATTCAGAGAGGAGGAAATAGACACAGAGAAGGTGAAGGACTTACCTAAGGTCCCACAGCCAGTAAGCAGCAGGGTAGGTATCCAAATAAAGGTCTGAATTAACATAAAGCTGAAGATGAAGCTCCAGTATTTTGGTCATCTGATGTGAACAGACAACTCATTAGAAAAAGTCTCTGATGCTGGGAAAGACCAAGGGAAGAAGGAGAAAAGGGTGTCAGAGAATGAGACGGCTGGATGGCATCACCAATCCAATGAACATGAACGTGGGCAAACTCCAGGAGATGGTGAGGGACAGGGAGGCCTCGCATGCTGTAGTCCACATGGTCACAATGAGTCAGACACGAATGGGTCACTGAACAATGACAACAATTAACACAAAGGCTGTGCCCCTAACCACCCTGATACACTGCCTCCCCACACTGTGAAAACCACTTACTGAGGGCATCTTCCTCTGTCTTCCTTCAAAAGTAAAGTATCTAACGTGGGGGCACCATAGGCCTGATCAGTGACTCCTTCTACCCTCCAAGAGTTTCACATTACTACCTTCAAACTTCCTGCCCAGACCCTCTCACACATGGCTGAGGGGCATAGAAAATGGCACAATCTTTACAGTGACCATTTTGCCACCTTCCATCAAAATCACAAACACACAAATCCTAGATAATTAATAAGGACCTACTGTATAGCACAGGGAACTCTACTCAATACTCTGTAATGATCTATACAGGAAAAGAATTCAAAAAAGAGTGGATATATGTACATGTATAAATGATTCACTTTGCTCTATACCCAAAACTAACACAACATTGTAAATCAACCATATTCCAATAAAATTAAGAAAACACACACACAAACCTTTTGACCCAGCAGTTCCATTCCTAGGTACTTATCCTACAGACAGACCCTTCCGTGTACAAAATAACCTGTGCCTAAGGATACTTGATGCCTAACAGCACCTGATGCCTAACACTGCCTAAGCAGTGCTTCTAACAGCAAAGAAATGGAAAAGATCTAAACATCATCAACAGGGGACTAGTTAAACAAGTCATAGCACATCCATACAACGGAATAAGATGCAACTGTTAGAAAGTGAGGTTGAATAACCAAAGCAGGGAAGCAAAATGCTACACTAGCTATAGAAGGCCATCCACAGATCTGTGTAGGAAAAAAAGCATGAAAATTCAGGTACATATTTGTAAATATACACAGTATCTCGAGAATGCCTAAGAAATAGTGGGTGCCTCCCAGGAAGGAATCTAGGTGACTCAAAGTATTAACACAAAAGATGGAGACTTGCTTTCCACCACATAGTTTTAATGGACCCCACATCTCCAGCCTGACTACCTCACTCCACTCATACATTTTTGTACCAATCTTCATTAGCTTCTAGGCTTTTACACGTGCTGTCTTCTCTGGATGGCACATCTTACCTCAACTGACTTAACCAACTCCTACACTACTTTTAGTTTACTTTACTTCCTCTTGGAAGCCTTTTCAGGCCACCACCGCCAAAGTCTAGGGGTTCTCCTCTGGGTTCTCAAAGTCTTCTTCTAACTATCACAAGACTCATCACACCTTGCTGTTAATTACTGCTTATCCCTTATAAGCCAGAGGTCCCTAAAAGCAGGAAACAAATTTCATTCATTTCTACATCCTTAGTATCTCCCATTCTAATAACATGGCAGGTGCTACACATGTAAAATGAGACCGACGTGGCTTGTTACTTCTCCAACCTGGTCACCTGTTGTACATGCTACCAGCACTTAGAAGCAATGTCGACCTACTTTCAAGTGACGCAGAACAGCAGACTTTCAGTGTGAGTTTTAAACTCACCCGTTTCTGCCCCTTACTTGCATGACCTTGGGCAAGTCAAATACCTATCTGAGTCACCAATTCCACCTCTGTTAAATAAGGAAAAAGTAATGCCTACTCTCAAAGAGGTAAGAATTAATGATACTAAAACCTAATTTGGCATACGGTAAGTCTTCAGTAACTACACTTTTGCAGCCCACACCTCCTTTGTTGGTGGATATTGTTGTTGTTGTTCAGTGTCCGACTCTTTGCGATCCCACAGACTGCAGCAAGGCAACCTCCCTGATGGTGGATATGGAGCACTGAGATTAAGACCTTAACAGTCAGAATCTGATCCAACTGCTGCTTCTCCAGGTAACTTCAGGCACCTGGAATCAAAGTTCTGGGACCTTCCATTTCCTCATGTGTAAATGGGAATAACAGTACCTATTACAGCACCTATCTCCATCTCTGTTGTGAGGATGATATATGACAATACAAATAAAATGCTTACATAGCACAATGTAGGCGCCTCTGTGCGGCCCTACATTAACTGGTAGTTGACAATAACGATGTCAACGATTTCAGTAGCCTCTAGTCAACATAAATAAATAAAGCATCCCAAACCTTTTACTGGGTGATTACAACGTGGTAGGCGGTGCTAGGCGCTTTTCACGGATCACCGTATTTGATCCTCAGAGCAACTGTGAGGCAGGTTCTATCATCCACTTTTTCACAGGTGACAAAGCTAAGGTTCAAGGGGAAGAGAGGTGACTCGTCCAAGGTCACAAACGAATAAGCAGCGGAGCTGAGGTGAGAATACCGAGAGTCTGACTGCAGGCTCCGCGCCATAGCCACCGCCCCATTCTCCCCTTGGACACTGCGCATTCCCGGGTCACCGTGGTCCCTCTAGCCCCAGACATGAGCCACAGGCGAGGGCGCAGGCCACCTTAACCGCGCGCCGCTCACCTTCCGCAGCCCGACAATCCAGCGTCCAGCCGAGTAGTCCTCTCGACTAGCAACCTCCCGGCTCGTCCGTCTGCGGCTGCGCGCGCATACACGCAACTTCCGTTCCGCCGCAATTTCGGTCCGGGGTGTTCCGTCCGGCAGAAGTGCGTCGTCTATAGTGTCCGGGGTGGGCCTGAGCTTCTGCTCCACTGCTGCCCTGAACCAAGTGGTAAACCCTAACCGGCATGTGGCAACGGAGCGCTTGAAACGTAGCGAGTGCTAGTTAACTATGTTCTAAGTGTAAAACACACACTGAATGTCGTAGAAAGAAGGCCAGTTGTCTCATCAAAAATTTTTATATTGATTAGGTGCTGAGATAATATTTAGGACTTACTGGGCTAAGTAAGTGTATTATTTAAGTTAGTTAAAACTTAACTTTTTTTTCTTTTTTTTTTTTTACTGTGGCTACTGAGAAATTTTTAATTATTTACGTGGCTCACTTTCTGTTTCGGTTGGACAGCAATGCGCTTTAAAAAGACTTCACAATTCACGTTTCCAGCATAGACCACCCCCTCTTACCGCCCCTGCTGGAGTCACAGATCCACAGTTCCACTGTCTATGGGGCACCTCCCCTTTAGATACCCATCGACCCGCCTCTAACTTAATACCGAATTCGTCATTTCTACACACATCCTCACCCAAAACCTGTTTCTGCCTAGTCTTGCCCACCTCAGACCCAAGCATCCTCCCAGTTGCACTAGGAGAAACTCATTTTTGTTTCTTCCTCCACAGTCAGAAAGTTCTGTCCAAAATGTCTCAAATCTGTCACTTCCTATTCTCCCGTTCTACCCCTGCAGCAACTCTAGCTCAGGCAACCATTGTCTCATCAGAAACGACTGCAATAGCCTAACTGGTCTCCTTGCTTCTGGCTTTAACCTAGTCTCCTTCCCTGGTGGCTCAGAGGTTAAAGCATCTGCCCCCAATGCGGGAGACTGGGTTCGATCCCTGGATCAGGAAGATCCCCTGGAGAAGAAAATGGCAACCCACTCCAGTATTCTTGCCTGGAGAATCCTATGGACGGAGGAGCCTGATGGGTTACAGTCCACGGGGTCACAGAGAGTCGGACACAACTGAACGACTTCACCCACAGATGTATCTCCCACACAGAGTGTAAGGGAATATACTTGTTTTTTTCCTGAGGTCACAGGAATTCACCGGAGGTCCAGTGATTAGGACTCTGCCCTTTCACTGTGATGGGCTAGAGCTGGATTTGGATCCCTGGTAGGAAACTAAGATCCCAAAAGCTGTCCAGCCCCTCAGGAAAAAAAAGAAAAGTCAGATCACATCACTCCTCTGCTGAAAATTCCTGGTGGCTTGTCATTGCCTTTGCAATAAAATCCAAATTTCTTACTGTGTCCTAGGACCTGCATGATCTAGCTACTGCTTTCTTTTACTTCTCCAACCCACTTATTTCTTTCTTTTCCTAGCATGATCTCTCTAGTTGAATATACTTCAACTTCATAATTTTATTTTGCTTCTTCAATACCCCAAGCACCTATTTATCTCAGAGCCTTTGTATTTAGCCTTTTTCTGGAATGCTCCCCCAGATTGTTTCAAGGCTGGTGCCTTCTCATCCTTCATGTCTCAGCTTAAATATCAGCTCTCCAGAGAGGCCTTTTCTGACCATCCCATTTAAAATGCTCCCATTACTATCACCTCATTTTCTTTTTTTTAAATTACATCATTTTCTTCACAATACTTGTCACTATCCATAATGATAGCATTATTTGCTTACTTACCATTGCCTAGTTCCTAGACATTCAGCTCCCTGAGAGCAGGGACACAATCTGTCTTGTCCACTGCAATATCCCCAGGATCTAGCACAGAGTCTGACTCATTGTATTGCTTAATAAATATTTGTTGGATGAATAAATGACTGCTTTATGTATTAGTTTAAGTTCCCCAGAAGCAGACCTTGAAAAAAGGATTTGAGTGCATGCAGGTGATCTCAGGAGACACTGATAAGATAGTCAGAAAATGAGACAGAGAAGGGGAGACATCCAATAAAGAGTGTGTTGCCAAGCCAGTTACTGAGGTGGGCATCTGGGTCTTAATTCTGTTGCAGAGATCTAGGAAACAGTAAAACACAGATCTCAGAATTATTTCACCCAAAGGGGTAGTTATATACTAGCAACCACGGTGGAAATCTACTCCTACACATGTTAATGGGGAGGCTGTGGTTTGGGAGAAAGCCCTCTGACTATAAGATGCAGACAATGGCTCCAACACTGAATTACTGAGACTGTCGGGGCCCTGACAACCTCTGTTACAAGTAATCTCTTCAATATCTGATTAGAAGTCTATGAGGCTCTTATTGGTCTATTTTTCAGGTGAGAAAACTGAAAATACAAATAGGAGTCATGTGCTTAAGCTCACACAACTAGTATATGGCAGAACTGGGATCCACCCACAGGCCAGTCTGATCCAAAAGCCCTTTTATCACTGACTGACTAATTCAAAGTCAGACTAGCTGAGTTCATATTAAGGCTCCGATGCTTATGATAGCCATGGCCAAGTTAGTCATCCTTGCTGACTTTCACTTTCTTTGCATATAAAGTGGCTGCTGTGTGGAAAATATGCTGCACTGAGGGTAGGAGGGTGGGGAGACAAATAAGTAGATCATTTAGGAGCTGTGGCCTTTGTCCAGGGATTGTGGAGTCCTGGGCCAGTGTGGTGTCTGGAGGCAGTGAGGAAAAAACAAACCCAGACTTTAGAAGTTTGAGATATACCATAATAAATTTCAAGGGCTTCCCAGGTGGTGTTAGTGGTAAAGAACCTGCCTGCCAATCCAGGAGACATAAGAGATGCAGGTTCGATCCCTGGGTTGGGAAGATCCCCAGGAGGAGGGCACAACAACCCACTCCAGTATTTTTGCCTGGAGAATCCCATGGACAGAGGAGCCTAGCAGGCTACAGTCCATAGGATTGCAAAGAGCTGGACACAACGGAAGCAACTACACACACATGCACACATACCTAACAAATTTCATTCTGTCTCAAACTGCCCTGGGAGTGGATGCCCATTCATCCTGGGGTCCGGAAGGAAAAACATAAGAGTAGACCTGAGCCCAACCCACAGCCTAGACCAAAGCCACCCAGCCCAGCACAGCTTCTAATAGTCAAACTGCAGTCAACATGCAGCCCCAGAAGCATGAAAATAAATGCCTGTTTCTGGGGCAACAGAGATTGGGGTTGTCTGATTTTTAGCATGCTCCTTCAGATGCACATCAGCTTCAGGTCCTTAGAGAAACCTGCACTCACCCTCAGAGAAGGTCAGGTCCCCGCTGACCTCTCTGATATTTCCATGTGTCTACCCAATCAGTCACACATTTGATTGTGAGAGCTTCTGCTGAATTTCTTTCCCCTGCACATGGGGACCTGTCAGTCTTGCTCCCAGCAAAGCAGCTCCTGGCCCCAAGGATTAGCACAGACTAGGTGTGCATTATATATTTCTTGAATAAACAGTGGATTGACAGCAGGCAGATTGAGGTGGGCAAAGCTGGAATATCTCTGCTTACCTGCATTTCCCCAGGTTTATAGGACCAGTTCTGGTTCTGGCTTGTTACATGAATTCATGTGGGCCTCAATTTCCTTATGTGGGTGCTCGGTTAGAACTACTTAGTCTAATACAGTAGCTACTAACCACATATGGCTACTGAGCATGTGATATGCAGGTAGTGTGAGTGAAAAACTGAACTTAATTCCATTCTGATTAATTTTAAACACCAATACTTGATTCAGTTATTGGAAAACTTTAGTATATTTGGAAATAACTTGATTATGTGAATCTAATTTTTCACCTGTAAATTTTATGAAAATACCAATCAAAGGTTTCTAATGAAAATTTGACCTCTGAATAGAGATGTAGGTATAAAATACACAAATTTCAAAGGCTTACTGTGAGAAAAAGAATGTAAAACATTTCATTAATGAATTTGTACATTATGAACTGAAGTTCTAACAGTTTGGCTCTATTAGGTTAAATAAAACATTATTAAAATTATTTTCATCTATTTTTTCCTTACTTTTTAAAAGGCGGCTACTGGAAAATTAGAAATTACATATGTGGCTTGCATTATATTTCTAGTGGATAGTGCAGGACCAGAAAGTCTCTAAGGTGAACAAGAGGTCAGAAGTCAGAAAGACATCATTTGAATTCAAGCTCAGAATTTCGTAACTATGTGACTTTGGGCAAGTGTCTCTCCCCCTCTGAGCCTGTTTTCTTACCTGTGAAACGGAGATTGTTGTGCTTACCACACAGGTATGTGGTGAGGACCCCATAAGGAAATGCATGCACAGTGCTGAGCAGATAGCAAGCACTCTCTGAATGTACGCTATAATTACTATTATCATGGTGGTTTTCTGGACAATGCAAGCAAGTAAAGCCTGGTACAGCTTCCAAAGAAACACTCCAAGAAGCACTGGCCAAGCGTCCTCTCTTCCACAGGAAAGAGGCCAGAGGCTCTCAATGATGGTTTTTAAATAGGACCACAAATTCTTTGACATTCCTTTTATCAAGAGGTAGAGCCTAATTCCTCTCCCCTTGAGAGTGGGCTGGGATTAGTGACTCACTTCTAATGAATAGAATAGAGCAAAAATGACAGTATGTGACATCCAAGACTAGGTGATAAAAGGCACAGTGGATTCCTCTTGGTTCTCTCTTCTGTATCACTCACTTTGGGGGAAGCCAGCCACATTGTCATAATGAGGTGACTATGGTGAGGAATGAGGGCTTCCTGCCAACAGCCATGAGTTAGAAATATTGAAAACAAATCCTCTGATCCCAGTCAAGCCTTCAGATGAGTACAACTGACACCTTGATGATAACCTCATAAAAGATCCTGAGACAGAAACAATCCAGCTTAGCCCCTCTCAAATTTCTCACTCACCGAACTCAAACGATAATAAATGTTCATTGTTTCAAGCTGCTCAGTTTGGGGGTAATTTGTTCCACAATAGTAGATAACCAGTAGACTCTTTTTTCACCCTATGGTTAAAGGTCTGCTCTTCTCTAAGGAAACGGACTCCAGTCTTCGGTCTGGTCCATCTTGGGGCTAGAAGGGCCACCACAGGACCCACAGGCCAAGGCACAAACCACAGACACTGGGCCGGGCTGCCTATGTGCTCACAGGCTGTTTATTTATCCAAGAGTAAGGAGGAGAGAGAGGCTGAAGAGAACAACCTGATGCCCCAAGGTGGTGGAGCTGAGGGGAGAAATGAATGAAAGGCTTCTCTGTGTCTTGCCGTGGGCCCCAGGTAGCTCCAGCTTCAGGTGGAGCCTCTGGGGACAGTTTAGGGGCCTCTAGGAGGGCCAGGGGTTGTTAGCTGGGGTCGGGATCCCCACAGGGGCACATACTGGGCTCGGAATGGCTTCTGTGTACACAAAATATCTCTCCACAAAAGGCACTGGTCGGGGTGGGGGGAGCTGCAGGGACGCTCCCCTATCACTGGTGAGATCCGCTGTGTCCTGAGCTGGGTCTCTGCCTTCTTGCTCTTCTCCTCTCCCTTCCCTCAGCCAAGCAGCAAGCAGGCAATCAGCGGAGGGCCAGGTCAGGCCATGCGGTGGACACTCCCCCTTCAGGGCTAATGCATCTGACCACCTCTAGGCTAAGAGTCCCAGACGGGTGACCTTGGCCGAGAGGAAGGAGTGGATGATGAACACAATGGTTTTGGGGCACGAATGCAGGTCCAGCTGCTACGGGGTGAACAGAGAGAAGGGTCAGGAGCCCACCCAGCCTGGCCTCCAGGAGAGCATCATCCCTCGACCCCCTCCACTCACAATCTCGCCTTCAGTGCCCCCGAAGTCCAGGAATAGGAGACTGGCACCGTCATCCGAGGACATCTGCAGCTTCTCAAAGGGCTGACGCAGCAGCACGGCTCGGGCCGCACCTGGCTCCGCCGCCCACAGCGTGAAGCCGCGGTCGATGTGCACGGAGAGACTGCAGGCACGGCCGTTCCACGTGCAGGCTGCGGGGAGGGCGTGGGCACGGGAACAGCGGCATCTCAGAGACCGCAAGCCCTCCCTCCAGTCCCCACTCGCAGCTCCAAAAGTGGGGCTTGAATGCCACCGGGGTGGGGAGCTCCCTGTCTGTCATGCCATTTGTACACCCGCCCTGGAGAGAGTCACCCACACTCTAACACCCAGAAGGCTGTGTGGGCAGAAAACCTATACCCCACTTCCAGACCCACAGCCAGCAGCACCAAAGGAGGAAACGGGGATCTTCAACCCTGCCTTGGACAGGAGGCCCACTCCCTGTGAAGGCAGACCCACCAAGCCTGGCCTTTGGAGACCTTAGATGCCTACAGACTTCTTGCCCAGTTAAATGTGAATTTCAGATAGGCAATGGGTAATTTGGACCTCCTTTAACTAAAAAATTATTTGCTGTTTACCTGAAATTCAAATCCAAGTGAGTGTCCTGTACTTTTTCTGGCAACCCTACCCCAAGTGCCACCTCTCATATCCTCACCAGCGGAGTCACAAAACCAGGACAAGAAAACCCCTGGGAAACGAGTCTCACTACCTTCCAGGACACCTGCACATCCAAAAGAGAGGGCCCTCGGAGACCCCAAATCCCACTCTTGATGCCCCTCCTGAAGCATCCTAAAGAAGGACACTTGAATGCCCCTGGGGACAAGCGGCTCGTTACCAGAAAGGCACTCCCAGATCCACCCAGCCCACCTGTCGACACCTCCTGCACAGCCTCAGCGGCCCGGTGACAGCCATCCACCAGCTGGCGGGTCCAGGCAGCCAGCTCCTGCGGTGACTCCACGCTGAACAGGTGAGTGTCCACACCGTGGCGCGTGCCCGTGCGCAGGGCAAAAGAGAGCTCTGCATCGTAGGGCGCCAAGCCCTTGGAGGGGCCTGAGTGCACCAGCCTGGGGGCAGGGGGCAGAGGGCTGAGCATGAGGCCTCGGGCAGCGGGGAAGTAGTTCCGGGCCAAGGGGACGGTGACCTGGGAAGGGACCCTGCGACTCCTTTTCCAGCCAGTGGGGGGAAAGGACGTCCGGACGGTCACTGATGGAGTCACAGGAAACTATCTCCTGCCACACTCCTCCTGGCCCCCTCAGCTTCCAGCCACTCTAGCGTCTTCAAACATGCCAAGCATACTCCTGCCTCAGCCCCTCTGCTGTTCCCTCTGCCCAGCACACTTTTCCCTGATTATCTGCAGTGCTCTCTCCCTTACCTCCTTCAGACCTTCGCTCAAATGCCAACTCCTCTGAGAAGCCTTCCCTGACTTTTCTGCCTAAAATGACACCCCAGGACTTTCCTGGCAGTCCAGTGGTTAAGACTCTGTGCTTCCACCTCAGGGGGCCCAGGTTTGATCCCTGGTTAGGGAACTAAGATCCCACATGCCACACAGTCAAAAAATAAAAATAGCACTCTCCCCTATCACTCACTAGCCACACTTTTCTTTATGGTACCAGAAATTATACTTACTTTTTACTGTTTCAGTTGGCCTTTGATTGCCTTTTTTTCTAGAATATCATCTAGGGTACAAATGTTTGTCTAGCTTGTTCACTGCTATAGTCCCAGCAACTAAAACAATGCCTGGCACAAAGTAGGTGCTTAGTAAACATTTGTGACCTGAATTAATGAATCACTTGACTAGGTAGAACCTTCATGACCTGCTCATCCCTAGTAGGCAGCAGGCTCCTGACACGTGTGCCGGAACGCAGCCTGGAGTGAGGAGACATGAGCAACAAGGGCCCACGCCTCTCAGCTTGACTCCCACTTGCTGCATAATCTTGGGCAGTTCACTGCCCCTTTCTGAGCAGCAGACCTCACTCCACATGCTTTCTCTTGTAGCTTCAGTTCCCCCTCAGAGCTGTTTCTGATGCCCAGTCTCCTACTTGGCAGTCCTAAGCAACAGACTCACAGGTTCCCAAGTTTCCCACCCAAGCTCCCTACCTACCCTCCCCCCCACCGACACTTTGGACTCAACATCTTGATCCAACCTCCTCTCTTTGCACTCCCACCCCCACTCCTACTGCCCACTCAGACACCAGCTCCAAAACTCCCGTTCATCCATTCATCAGGACACCTCCCTCACCCTCCCCATCTGGCAAGTACGAAGCCTGGTTAATTTTACCACCATGTGTTTTCCAATGCAAATGCGGCCTTTCTTCTCCATCTGCTGCCTCTACCCACCTCCACTGTCTCTCCAGCATAACTGCTCCCATCCCCCTCCTCCAGTATATTTTCCGCATGGCAGCCACACAGATCCTTTTTCAAACAGGACCCGATGAGACACTTTATTCTCAGGTTAAAACCCTTCTCACTCTGTCTGCCACAGCTCTTAAGATAAAGCTAACAGTCCTTATCCAGGCAACAGAAGCTCTGCAAGATCAGGGCCTGCCAACTCCCTGCCTTATTTCTCTCTACTTCCCAGACAGAGTCTACACCCTGGTTACAGCACACTCAGAGAGCTCCATGAACCTGTGAGAGCTCTTCATGCTTCTGTCCCTTTGACTATACTGTTCCCTCTGTGTAAGATGCTTTTCCACCCTTCCTTAAATAGCAAATTTCTACCCATCTGCCAAAGTCCAGCTCAAATGTCATCTTCTACCTGAAGCTTTTCCCTGCCCCCACCTGCAGGCCAGGTAGAGTTAAGTGGTTCCTACACTCTGCACTGTAAAGGCTGTTCCCAGGCCAGTCTCCTCACCAGGCTGGGTACTCCCTGAGGACAGAGACCTCTGGGGACTGTCTTTCATCTGAACCGGCAGTACCAGGTTGGACAGAGCAGGTGTCAATGAGTGAGTGACTGATAGGACCTCATATCCTTCTGTTCCAAGTCCACATTTTACAGATGAGGAAACCAAGGCCCAGACTGGGCAGAGACTCACTTCAGGCCACCTGGGGAATAACTCAGGGTAGAATGGGGCTGGAGTCCCCAGCTTCTGAGGCCCATCTAGAGCATCACCCCCCCCACACACAAGCTCTGGGTGGGACACACAGTCCTGCCCTACCCGCAGATACCTGGTGGTGATAAGGGGGGCAGTACGTGCCGGCCGGCTCAAGGCCTCACGGGTCTGGGGGAGACAGCTGTAGAGGAGCAGCTCCTTTTCGGTCAGCAGGGCCAAAGTGGGTGCCGTGCCCCCGCTGGGCAGCTGCAGGAGGCAAGGCAGCAGTGAGGGGGGGATGCAGAGGGGTGAAGAGAGGTGAGAGGGCCAGGGCGGGGTGAGGCAGTGAGGGGAAACAGGATTGGGAGAGAGGAAGAGAGGGGAGGAGGGGCCCCGGGCCCAGCAGGCACCTGCTCAGTCAGCCAGCCGATCCGCTTGATGTCCTGACTCCCGGCTGTGCCGGTGGCTGACAGCAGCGCCTGCAACTCATCCTTGACCCGGGGCGTTAGAGTGTTCACCTGGGCTTGGATGGCAGCTGCCCAGGACTTGGCGCTAGCCTCATCCTTGGCCCTCAGGAAGAGGGTGTCCCGGCCATCAGCCGAGCAGATCTCCAGATACCTGCAGGCACAAGTGAGGTAGAGGGGAGGCCCATCCACTAGACAGGTGCCCAGCCCTGAAACCTGAGCCAAGGGACCCCCATCTGCCACAGACCAGAGGAAAGCACAGGGGATGTCCATGAGAGAATCAGGAGGGATGCTCACTGCAAGGCTCCGGCCACAGTTGGGCCTCATGGGGTTTGTCTATCTTATTCATCTTTTCTTGGGATAAGAGACTCTCTCTCTCCTTCCAACACACATATACATACAGGCATATACACACAAATACACACTCTCAAACATGTAGTAGTAGTAGTGTTAGTCGCTCCGTCCTGTCTGACTCTGAGACCCTATGGACTGTAGCCAGCCAGGCTCCTCTGTCCATGGAATTTTCCAGGCAAAGAATACTGGAGCGGGTTGCCATTTCCTACTCCAGGGGATCTTCCCAACCCAGAGATAGAAACTGCGTCTCCTGTGTCGGCAGATGGATTCTTTACCACTGAGCCACCAGGGAAGCCCCGCTACAAAGCACACTGTATGGTTAAAAAAGAAAAGAAAAAGGCCAGGGAATGGCAAAGGGGAAGGGTGGAGAGACAAAAAGCCACACAGACAAGTGTAAGGGGAAGGTCTCAAGGATGTCCAAGAGGAGACAGTGGCCGGGAGAGGACCTCCAAATGTCCTGTGGGGCTTGAAAGATCCACTCCCCTTTGGCATTTCCGTAACCAGTGCAAGTGGGGCAGAAACTGGAGAATGGCTCACACATATCCATTCCAATGCCTTCACCTCTGCCTTCCTCCACTACAGATCTCCCCTGCAGCTAGCACTGGCCTTCAACTCAATTCTGACTGATGAGATAGAAAGGGAAGTCTTTGGGGAGGGTGTCCCTTCCCATCTGAAGCATTCATAACTGTGGCAGTTAGTTTCCAAAGACAGCTGCTACCAAATTCATCTCTCCCTATATATATGCACAGTGTACCTCCCTTACCAAGAGGTGAAGCTTATTTCTCCTCTCCTTGACCTTCTGACTTGGTTTGACAAACAAAATGTGGCAGAAGTGCCATTTTGGAATTCCTAAGCCATCACGAAATCCAACTACCCCAAGGTCACCCACGCTGAGAGGGAAAACAAGCTAGCCACATGGAAAGGCCCTACAAAAAGAGGAATGCTTAGCCAGCCGCCAGCTGTTCCAACCACCCCTGCTGAGGAAGCAGGCACATAGGTGAAGCAGCTATCTTGGATTTGTAGCCCCTGCAGATGGCACAAGGAACAGAAGAACTACCTGGCTAAGCCAGCCCAGATTACAGAATTGTGAAAAATACCAAACTGCTATCTTCTAAGGCACTAAATTTTAGGCTAGCTGTTTATGCAGCAATAGAACAAAATACCAGGGGAACAATTCCTTTGTCTTTTGCCTTCTTCCTGTCTAGAATATGGACACATGCTTAGAGGTGCAGCCACCAAGCTATTTCCAAGAAGAAGAAAATCCATACTAAAAACATCAGGAGGGGAATTCCCTGCCAGACCAGCCATCAGGACTCCATGCTTTCACTGCCAAGAGCCTGGGTTCAATGCCTGGTCTGGGAACTAGGATACCATAAGCTTCATGGTGCGGCCAAGAAAAATTTTTTAATACAAATTGTAAAAGATGGCAGAAGAAGAAGCTGGAAGCCTGATGCCTTGAGGGTATTCTTGGCCATCAGTAGCGGCCTAAATAGCTGACTGCTGGGTTTCTTTTTTATGTATGTATGTATGTATTTTTGGCTGTACTGGGTCTTCATGACTTTGCACTGGTTTTCTCTCTTAATTGTGACAGGCAGGCGCGATCTTCGTTGTGGTGCTCAGGTTTCTCATGGTGGTGCTTCTTGTTGTGGAGCACAGGCTCAAGGCACATGGACTTCAGTGGTTGCAGCACCTGGACTCACTAGTTGCAGTACACAGGCTTAGTTGCTCCACAGCATGTGGAATTCTCCTGGACCAGGGATGGAACCCAGGTCCCCACATCTCCGGCTTTGGCAGACGTATTCTTATCCTTGGTGCCACCAGGGAAGTCGTGGACTTCTTTTTAAACATGTGGAAAATTAACTCCTCATTTATTAAGCCATTGCTTGTTGGGGTTTCTGATGCTTGCAGACCAATGTAATCTTAACACTAAGTAAAAGTTCAAAGTATTTTTCATTATGTTTTGGTTACCGAATGGTGTTCCTTTGACTGGGATATTGTGCTGATATGGAACCCCAGTTATATTCAAGTTACACATGTGTGCACAGGTCAAGCACATGTACATAAATGCATATACACATATGGATATTAACACAAATACACACAAACACACATGCACAAATCTACATCCCTGCCCGTGCAAATGCTCACATATACACACAAACACTTGCATTTACATGCCATCCACAAGTACACATACATAGAAATACAGGTACACACATGCTTCAGGTGATGTCTGGGATCAGGCTGGGAATCACAACTAACCTAAAGTTCTATGAGTCACAGGAAGGGCCGATACCACCTCACCTTCACCCAACACAAAAGGCCCCTTGTTGGAGCACCTGTAAGTAACCTGTGAATCACTAGTTCTTGCTTCATGGAGGAGGCTGGGGCTAGGGCATCAAGCAGGGACAGGAGGTCTGAATTCCGAACATTAATCAGACCACCTTGGCCAATGTGGGCATTGACTGGGCATTAAACCTCAGCTTTTATTAGTACCCAGAGCACAGGCCTTTCCCCCCACCCCATACTGCACACCTTATTCGATCAACATGGACTGCATTCACCACTGTCATCACTCAGGGAGCTTCTGAAGCTGAGAGGGCTACCTGGAATGAGGCAAGCTCCATTCCCTTCCTGGCTGTGTGATCTTGGGCAGGTTACTTCCTCCCTCTGTCCTCATCTATAATAGCGGGGTGAAACAATAGGACTTTGCTCATAGGGCTGCTGTGAGCGTTAAATTCAATTGTGCATGATAAGCACTCAGTAATGTCGGCTAGTATCTATCTTATCGTCAATGTTAAGGGCTGCTCAGATGTGAGGGATGGTAACCTTCCATGGCCCTGAGTGAAAGTTACCAGGTATCTTGGAACCTCAGCAGAGTTGGAAGAGACTTGAGGGGATCACTGAGTCTGATATCCTTATTTCATAAGGGAGAATCTAAAGGTTAGTGAGGAAAAGGGCCTAGCTCAAGGAGAACCAAGACTGGAATCCAGGGCTCCTCAGCAGACCAAGTTCCTCCTCAGATGTAAATTACCCAGAGGAAGAAGAGAGAAGAAAAGTACACCATCACCCCCATAACGTCACTCTTGTGTCCATTCAACAAACATTTCTTAAGCACCTACTACGTTCGGGCATTGTGCTTGTCACTTGCAACACAAGGGATCTTTCCTTTGGCCCCACCACCTAACATGAGGGCATGTCTGTCTGAGTCGCCCCCTATGCTAGGCTTACCTGGTCTCTGGGTCTGTAGGGGTGCACCTCCTTGAGACATATGCCATCTTCAAGGACATGTGTTTGGCATCACGGAGGTCCCGGGGTAGGGGGCCAGGGGAGGAAGGCTGCCGCTGAAGGGGTGAGGCAGGAGGCGAGTCCCAGCCAACCGAGGTCCCGCTGGCAGAGTTCTTGAAATATGGTGAGACCTCTTTCATGTACTTGACTGGTTAGGGGAGAGGTCAGCAGTTACCACCATGACGTGGGCTCCCATGTAGCACATGTAACAACTGTCACTAATTCATTAAATTTTAGTTTATGTCCACTTCCCTTCCCTGGTGGCTCAGATGATAAAGAATCTGCCTGCAATGCAGGAGACCCAGGTTGGATCCCTGGGACAGGAAGATCCTCTGGAGAAGGGAATGACTATCAACTCCAGTATTCTTTGTTTGTTTGTTTTCAACTCCAGTATTCTTGCCTGGAGAATTCCATGGACAGAGGAATCTGATGGGCTACAGTCCATGGGGTCACAAAGAGTCGGATACAACTAAGCAACTAACACACACACTTTCACATCACTATCCTCCTCTAGGCTAAAGTTTCTGACAGGGCTGCATGGTAGAAAAGTCTGGATGCAGGGCAACATTCATTCTTTCACCTTTCTTATTCATAGGCCCATGACCACCTGGTGGACTACATTTCACAGCCTCCTTTGCAGCTAGGTATGGCCACATGACTAAGTTCTAACCCCATAAGTTTAAGTGTTTAGAGTTTCAAAACGGCTGCTTGAAGAGAATGGGCAACAACTGCAACAAGGCAGTGAGCAAGCGTCAGGACAGGAGTCAGGAGATAGAACTGCTCTGCCACTGTTTTTTTTGTTTTTTGGTGTTTGGTTTTTTTTTTTTTTTTTTTTTTTGGCTTCTCTGGGTCTTAGTTGTAGCATGTGGGATCTAGCTCCCTGACCAGGGATCGAACCTGGGCCCCCTGCACTGGGAGCTCAGAGTCTTAGCCACTGGACCACCAGGGAAGTCCCTCTGCCACTGTTTGCCTCTCTCTCTTTAGTCTTCTCATCTGCTAAAAGTAGGGGCTGCATGAGATAGTCCTGTGGTGGAAGCTGCCAATTTTCCTCCAAAATAGTGATAACCCTCCAACTTAAGACTTCAGTTTCCAGGTTCCCTTGCAGTTACAAGGGCCCACGTGACCAAGTCTGGCCAATAGGATGAGAACAAAAGAGATGTGTTCGGCTACCAAGTTCTGCCAATTAAAAAAAGGGGAATACCCTTCCTTTCCCTGCCTTTTCCCCTGACATGGTTGAGCTGGCTGAAACACAGACTGGTGGAGCATCATCTTGACCAGAAGAACATGAGCCATACTCCCAAAGGCTGACCAATAAAACAGAAGTAAATGGATGCTGAGACTTTGGAGATGCCACATCAGACTTGAACTGCTACCTAAGAAAGCAAAGAGCTTCTATTATATTTGTGCCTGTACTTAATCCTTCAGTCTGACTCTTCGCGACCCCATGGACTGCAGCCCACCAGGCTCCTCTGTCCATGGTATTTCCCAGGCAAGAATCCTGGAGTGGGTTGCCATCCTTCTCCAGGGAATCCTTCCAACTCAGGGACCCAACCTACATCTCCTGCACCAGCAGGTGGATTCCTTACCTCTGAGCCACCTGGTAAGTCCATGCTAGCCATTATCAAGCCATTAAAGCTGATTGATAATAAAATACTTTGGTCCCTCTTACTCTATCAAATAGTTGGGTTTGGCTACAAATAATAGAATATATGATACTAGTGCCTTAAGCAAGAAAAATATTTATGATTTCATGTGACAAGAAGTCTAGAGGAAAGCAATTTCAGAGTTGGTTCAGTGACTCAATGACATTGGATCCCGAACAGGCATCCCTACCATTCTCCTGGCCTTCCCCTCATGACCACAGGATGGCTGCAACAGAGCCAAGCCAATGATTCCTTACATGACAAAACCAGGAAGGAAGGAGAGAGGCAGCAAAAGGACTGTCAACTCATACCTCCCTCTTAACAGAGAGGCAAATACTTCCATGAAATCTTATATTTCATTGGCCCAACTGGACTGGCCCAACTGCATGCCAACTTCTAGCACAATCATTAGTAAGAGAGAGTAGTCATGATTGATTTAGACCAATCACAAGTCAGCCTCTGGGGCTGACTGAACATTAAAGTGAAAGTCACTCAATCGTGTTCAACTCTTTGCAGCCCCATGGACTGTAGCCTGCCAGGCTCCTCTGTCCACAGAATTCTCCAGGCCAGAATACTGGAGTGGGTAGCGGTTCCCTTCTCCAGGGGATCTTCGCAAGCCAGGGATCGAACCCACGTCTCCCACACTGCAGACAGATTCTTCACTGTCTTGAGTCACCAGGGAATCCCTGGGGCTGAGCATATTCCCACCCAATTAAATCAGGCTCTGGTAGCATGGAAGAAGGGGAAATGGTCAAAACGCAGGCAACCAAGGTGTCCACCACATCCGACCCAGCATCTCGACTGTCTCTAATTCTGATGAGCAGCAGTCTCCTTGTCTCTGAAATGAGTTACTAGGAGGACAGTGTATATGTCAAGGTGGTTGAAAGTTTTGCCCAAGGGACTTCCCTAGTGGTCCAGTGGCTAAGACTCAGCACTTCCAACGCAGGGGGCCTGGGTTTGATCCTGGTCAGGGTACTAGCTCCCACATGCTGCAAGTAAGACCTGGTGCAGACAAATAAATAAAAAAAAATTTTTTAATGTCTTGCCCAAGCACTGGTCTCTCTTCTCCCAGTCAGGCTGGCCCCTCAGCTGCCCTACTGAAGAGTGCCTATGCCCACTAGCCGTGGGACAGCCTCTCTTCCTCTTCTCAGCCACCTCTACCTCCACGGCCATCTAGTCTGTTGGCCATCTGATGCCTGCATTCAAAGCCCAGTCAGTATGCTCTGGCTGGGAGTGGACAGACCAGGAAGTAGGGAGAAGTTCTTGGCCCAGCTCCCTGGAAGAACCAGATAAGAAGTTATTTCTGTCACAAGAGACTGCTCAGATAGGATCCAAGGTAAACAAGGGTGAAAGTGAGAGGGACAGTGTTGGAGAAGAAGTTATGTTGAAAACAACAGCAGAGTTTTTTTTGAAAGAACTAAGCCCAGGTCTAAAGACTGGGAACTAAGGCTAAAAATGACTCATCCTCACCATTACAGCAATGACTTACCCCAAGACTATGTCTCAAGGGGCAACAGAGGTGGGACACATCATAGCCTCTCTGTCAGTTAAACCATTTTTTTTTTTTAAATCTACCTTTATTTTTCTCCTTGCTAACAGAACCCTGAGCCCTAAAGGCTGGGCTTCTCCCCAGCCCAGAGGGAAAATCTTAATTGGTTAAAGCTAATCATGATCATTCCATCCTTCTTACTTGTGATTGGCCTAGAAAGGGGCAGATAATACAATTCTGTCCAATGAGCTGTGACGGAAAATATACTGCCTTCCCTTCCTCTCCTCTAGCCTTTAGAAGTTGCTGGAAAGCAGGGAGTTTGTTCTAAAGCAATGATAGTCACTTTGCCCACAGGACTGGGGTCCACACATTGAGGAATGTGAGGCCTTAAATTAAGTTAATCTACCCTGGAGCCATGCTGACTTTAGGTATTCTGGAAGAAAACCTGTTTTCTTCAATGTTTAAACCTCTTTGAATGGGGTTCCTTTTACTTGCAGACAAAAGCATCCTAACTAATACAGCACACGCCCATCCCCCACCCCCACTCAGGGTGCAACTGATATATCTCCCTACTATATTTAGCTCTGCTCCTCCCCTGCTTAAAGCCAAGCTCTGGCTCCCTGCACTCTTCATCCAACTTCAAGGTTTTCCAGGACCTGGGCCCTGACTATCTTGCTGGCTTCACCTGCAGCCACATCTAGCCCTCTAATCCAATCATCCTGACCTGCTCAGAGCTCTCAGACGGTGTAGGAGCTTCCAAACACCTTTGAAAATGCAGCGTCCCCTGCACAGAATGACCTTAGTACATGGTTAGGGGACAGGTACTCTCAGACTTGAATTCCAGCTCTGCCTAGCTGTGTGGCCATTGTTGTTGCTGTTGTTTAGTAGCTAAGTCGAGTCCGATTCTTCTGCGACCCCGTGGACTGTAGCCCACCAGGCTCCTCTGTCCATGGGATTTCCCAGGCAAGAATACTGGAGTGGATTGCCATTTCCTCCTCCAGGGGATCTTCCCAACCCAGGGAGTGAACCCACATCTCCTGCATTAGCAGGCGGATTCTTTACCACTGAGCCACCAGGGAAGCCCTTGAACAAGGTAATTCACCTCCCTGGCCCTCAATCTGAATAACAATGTATGCTCATTAATTTAATTAAATTAAATGAGATGATGTAAAACACTTGACACAGGTTCTGCCCACACTCCTTAGAACTCTGCTATGCTTCTGTGTGTTGGGGTTTTCTCTCTCACCAAACTGAGAGCTCCTAGAGAACAGAAGGGGCTTCCCTGCTGGCTCAGATGCTAAACAATCTGCCTGTAGGAGACCTGGGTCCAATCCCTGGGTTGGGAGGATTCCCTGGAGGAGGGAATGGCAACCCACTCCAGTATTCTTGTCTGGAGAATTCCATGGACTGAGGAGTCTGGCAGGCTACAGTCCATGGGGTCACAAAGAATCAGACCCAACCAAGCAACACACACACACACACACACACACACACAAAGAAGACACAAATGGGGTTTGATTCGAATTCAAGAGTCAGTGTTCTGTGAATGGAGAGGTGAATGCCAGGACAGAAAAGGTTCATTCAACAAGGGGAAGTTGCCACAGCCCAGGAGGTCCCAGCTCAGCCCAGACATTGCCCCTCAAGAAAACCTTCCCAGATGCCCACTAGATCCTGCACACCCACCACCTCTGCAGGTCCCTAGACCCCACTTCTCTATATGTCCATGTGGGAATCTGTGTCCTTCTCCAGGCTGAGAGCACTGGGAGGGCAGGGACCTTGACTGACTGGTCTCTGTATCCCTAGAATTCAGCAGGGATCTCTGACGCTATGTGCTCAGCAAATGGACGTTTGTCAGTTTTGAAACCAGAGAAACTGCTAGAGGCCTTGCTTGCTCAGGCCATCCTGGAAGTGGGTCCTCCTTCTCCTTGCCCACAGGAACACACTATAAATGGACAGCACACCAGCTGATGTCTGAAACAGGGCTGGCATTTCACAAACCAACCAGCCTGTCCCACG